CGACGTGTTGTGCGAGCTCATGGAGTCAACGAGTCCGCCAAATGAGCCGACACTGGCGTCAAGGAACATGGCTCCGTCAATGTCAAGAGACTCACGGATAATGTGTGCAGCCTTGGCGAAAATGCGATCGACCTCGACCTGGCGGGGATCAGCTGGCGACACGCTGGAAGCCGTCGTGCTCGTCGTTTCAACGGTGTCGGAAGAGCCTGAGCAGGATGCAGCGATGCCATCGTTGGTCACAGGACTGATGCTTGGGCGGATAGCTTCCTGAATTCCAGCAATCTCTTCGGACGCAGTTTCAGAGACCTCGACGAGGCCGTCATCGCCGACGACAATGCGGGGTGCCTCGGGCCCGTCCGGGGTGTAAGAAACGCCATTGGGCTCATAGGCTCGTGCTTCAGCAATGTGGTGGTCAGTCTCAGACCACCAATTGCCAGGCTCGTCTCGGCCCTGGATGAAGTTGCTCAGGCCGTGAACCATCCGCTCGCTGCGCACATATGTGTCGGTGACGCGTCTCGCCTCCATAAGGCCCATGATGGTCCGAGACAGATCACTCATGAATTCGACTTGCTCGTCGGTCAGGGCGTGGCGGGCTTCGGGGCCGAAGACGCAGAGAACGCCAATATTGATGCCCCTGGCGGAGCGGAGCGGCACACCAGCATAATATTTGTGACCGGGTGTGCCGCTAACGAAGGGTCGCTCGTGGAATCGCGGATCGACAGATAAATCAGGAATCAACGTCACGGGGAGAGGATGTCCATTGTTGTCATTCTTGGGCCCCGTGTATACTTTTTCACCCGCTCCCATGAGAACATGCTCGCAGATGCCGTACGTTCGAGGGATGGCAGTGCCGCAAAGCCACAAGTGATCCTCAAAGTTGGGAGTGTTGGCGCGGAGGGGCAGGGTCGGCGTAGCTTCGGCGACAACGTACTGGCGGCGGCGGTCAAAGAGGGAGATGAGGGCGCGCGAGGCATCGAGGCGGATGGCGCACAACTGGGCCAGGGCGGTCAGGTTCGTATCGGAACTGGAGGAGAGTGTCTCGCGCGGGACGGGGCGATGAGGTTCGTTCAGCACGGTTTTCGAGATGAGGAGGGAGTCGTATCTGTCGGCAGGTCATGTCAGTTCACAAATGTTCGTGCATGCATGCACATGGTCAAGGTCGGGGGGAGGATGGAGGATGGAGGATGAATGATGCGACTGCCAGCAGTAGGTCGATGGGCACATACTTGAGAGTCTCCCACTCGCGGACGCCCTCGTTGACATCGGCCATATCTCCGGTCCCTAAAAGGTGGGAGATTGCGCAATGGTTTGCGAGGGCATGAGAGCCGGTAGATGGTCCGGTCCGAGGTTGGTTGTAGGTCGACCGAGCCTCGTCGTCGTCGAAGGGGCTTCCGTCTCGTTCGCTTGGTGGCCTGGACAGAGAGGCGCGTGGTGGAGGTTTGGTTGGAGCTTGGGTGGAGGTCAAGGACGCAGAGACGCAGGACGAAAGCCTCGCGGGACGCTGAAGAGCGTGGATGGCAATGGCAAGGGTAACGAGCAAATACAGGGCAGGGTCAGCCGAGTCGGCCCCAGGGAGGCGAGCTACAAGCGGCAGGCGGCAAGTGGCAGTGGACAAGCGCAGCGTACCTCAGGTAGGGTCCCTTCCAATGTACGGTCTGTTGGGGGGGGCAAGTCGGGTGGGAAGGGCAGGAGTCGGTTTGCTTCCGGGGTACGTGGGTGGACAAGAGGGGGAAGGAAAGGGCCTGGCCAGACCCCTAGACCAGAATCGAGGCAAGTTCGACCCTAGTAACCAGCCTGGGGGGTGGCCTTGGTCGAGAATGATCCAAAGAGCGAAAACGACGTCGACGTCAACAGGCTGCCCCAGCTACGGTACCTATGCGATGCGTTGCGATCCCTACGCTGCGATGCGGTACATCTGGCGATCGTCGATGGCGGCTCGTCCGTTGAGCATCCTCTGTAAACAAGTGCTCGATTCTTGGCGGGAGCTGGCAGAGCAAGAAAGTGACAAACCAGAGCGAGTGTCCCTCGTCCACACAGAATGGGCAAATGTTCAGAATTGCATGCATCAGCCACGCCCGAGGGGCAGATTTCCATGTAGCCACACCCAGTCCTGCCTCTCCCCACCCCTGGCCGTGTGGTTTCGCCCCCCTCTGGCGGCCGATCCCAGCACCTGAACCCGATGGCACTAAAAGGCACCAGGTGGGGGCGTGCCGTTACCCAATCAGTGCCTGTCCTCTCCCGATCCAAGAAACTCTCCCTCCTCCCCCTGCCCTTGGCCCCCTTGGGCCCTCTGACGATCGAGCACTGCGATTCTGTTGCATCGAGATTTGTCCTTCAACCCATCGAGATTGATCCTCCATCCTCCGTCATCCAGCATCTCCATCATCCATCAAAACCCATGACGTCGGACCTGTCGCCGAGTTGTCTCTGCTGACACGATTCGATCACAAGGTGCCAAAGATCGCGAGACGGCAAATCTACGGCCCCGGCCGCGCCGTCGATGGCCCCGTATCGTACGCGGCACCCGTAGCGGCCGCCGGCTGCGAGCTCGATGAGACCAACCAACAAAACGGGCCCTGCCCCCCCCCCGTTGACTCGGCTGTGGAAAATGGAAAAGGGGGTCCGGGTTCTGGTAGAGGCAGGGACCAAATGCCTGGTTACGCGGTGGCCCGCCCACATGCACCCCATTGCGGGACGATGCTGCACACTGCGAAGACTCGCTCCAAAGGATTACTCATGAGGAGGGGGCATGTTCGCGATGGTGTCATCGCCCCATGATGAGTCTTTTGTCTCTGGCTTCGGCAGAACCACCAAAAAAAAATCGGGATTCACCGTCATCTGCTACATCACGTATCCGGAGCTCCGATACCTGTCGATTGAGTTGAGTCGCAAACGCCAAGAAAAAGGGGAAAGAAGAGGAGACAACCACGCTTCTTTTTGACGCAACCGTCTCACGACCCCAATGACCAACTCTGTCCCCGCCCAAACCTTCTCCGAAGTCCCGGAAGGGATCCTGGACCTCCTCATCCTCCATCTGCCGTACTCGTTGAGTCTCGTACGCCGCCTCCAGTACACGGTTGCTTCTCCCACCGGCAAAACCCCCAGCGCTCGCATCGTCGTGGCCTCGGATAGTCCGCCAGCAGAGCCCACACGTCACGATGCCGCCTTCGATGCCACCGCCCGCCATTTCACGGTCTCCTACTTCGACCCGTCCCGCGGCCCTGAAACCCAGACGTGGATCTACTCGACGCTCGAAGACGCCCACGCCCGTGACTCATCCGTCGTCCTGACCCAGGACGAGACGGCGCACTGCGAGAAGCAGATCCTCGCCGTTGTGTCCGAGATCAAGCGTGTCGCTCGCGAATACGATGCAGTGGAGCCCCTCGCCTTCCCTCGTCAGGTCATAGTCGGCACCCTCCATCATGCCGTACGCGCCGTCATGCGCAAGCACGACGTTTCCCTGACCCATCGCCACGACTATCAGAAGATCATATTTCCGTTCGATACGCTGCCCTCGGCTGATGCAGCGCTGCCAGCGGGCCTGCGCTTCGAGACCACAACGCTGGAGGATTGTCACATCGTCAAGTCGCGGACGGACATTCCGCGCAAAGTGTAAGGCTGCCCACCTGACGATCCATCAAAATGGACATACGGGCACCAGCTGATAGTCGCCAGGACGACCTTGTCCACGTTACCGAGCATAACCATCAAGCAAGCAGACGGGACGCCCGTCGCATGGGCATTTCTAGGCATGTTCACTTTCGAGGCCAAAATTCTTCAGCCGCCAGGGCATCCCGCTAACAGACGACGACAGGCCCTGACGGCTCCATGTGCAGTCTCCACTGCGAAGAGCAACACCGACGCAAGGGCTTGGCTCGCGCCGTGGCCGCCAAGGTCATCCGCGAGAGGACACGCTTCTTCGGTAGCGAGCCGTGGTCCTCATCCGAGGTTGCGCCAACGAACGTGAGCAGCCACGCCATGTGCAAAAGCCTCAACGGAGAAATCAAGTGGGATGTTAGCTGGTGAGTTCTCTTCTTCGTTCCAAGTGCGTACTTCGCTGACACTCCCAGGACGCTTCTTGGGATAGAGGAGAAAAGTTCATAAATGACTAATGCCGCCAGTCGCTGGATGGCTGAATATTCGACAGCGGTGTATGTTCCGGGACAGTGGAATCAGAAATTGTTCCGTACGAGTTTAGATTGCTGCGATACCCCCGTCTTACTCTGTGACACAGAAGTTGGATACTCTCGCAAGGGGGTCATTGAGAAGCCAAAAGGACCCATCACGTTCACCAGATGCACCATCCGCGGTAGACATGCTCACAGGTGAAGTTTCCCTGCAGGTTGTGATCAGTGGACCGCCTGGTAAGATATCCATAGTCCGGGGACAGCATCAGACCGAGTTCACGTCAGAACTTGAAAAGGTTCTCAAATGCAGCCCAGAAGAATGATCCAATTGTCCTCAACACCCTAGGTTGCCATCGAAGCAAAGCCATTTCAGCCCTACGACCTCCGAGTGGGCGGGTCAGCCTCGGTGTGATCCCACCGACCGACCCCTCCAGGAGATCTCGATACGCCCAGGCTCTCGCGCCTCGACCTATCACGTCCGACCGGCCAAGTCGCCAGCTGGTCATAAGACGTCAAGACCACTGCTGATGCCATCATCGCCATGGCATGAGTTATTGCCAGGGCATTTTGTGCACGACTCTTTTCCCCTCGCAGGATGTGGGTGCCTGGTGGAGAAGCATGAAGCCATTCTGTTGGAGACTGCGCTGGAGACGCTGGAGACGCAGGAGGTTGTTCTCCGAGGGTGAGCGTGTCGCACGGGTGATGTCACTTTTTCTGGGTCTTGCAATGCTTTGTATATATGCTCATCGTGTGCTGTTGCGCATGGGTTTCTTCTGCCTGCATTGGACCATACTCACAAGATCTGATTGAATCGACAAGATTTGCGTAACGAGCCCAACAAGCGACCATCAGAAACGAGGCTGAGATTCAAAAATGGCACCTTCCCACGGACAAAAGGTGAGCCCGCTCGTCCAAGATGCCAGGTGTACGAGACAAGACTAACAGCGCACGAGGTCGACCTCGGCAAGGACGCTCCCGTGACCCAAGAGTCCACAGGCGCCGTCCCCTCGGGCTCCCTCGCCAACGAGTCGGCCAAGAAGGGCGGCGACTTTGCCGAGAACAGCGGCGTCCAGGCAGGCTCAACCGCCGACTCCAAATCGTCGGGTACAGACGCCAACCACGGCAGCAGCAAAAACAGCAACAGCAATGCGTCTTCCAGTACCAAGGGCTCGTCTGGCGGCGGCGGCGGCGGCAACGGAGATTCAAAGTCCTCCGGCGCCCAGGGCGGCACGGCGCCGTCGTACGTCGAGAACCAGTACATCCGCGACGGCAGCGGCCCGCACGGCAAGAACCTGCAGGAGGGCATCGACTACGCGAACACCAAGGACGGCCTGAAGGCGGCGCTCGAGGCGGAGCCGGGCTCGGCGAATGACCCTGCGCGGGCGGCGGAGCAGCAGTTTTTGCAGTCGCAGACGAGGGCGGGGCGCGATGCTGGGCCGAAGGAGTTTGAGGTCGGGAGCAAGACTACGTTTGACAATCTGGAGGAGAAGCAGGCTTGAGGGTGGGCTTGATTTCAGAGTTGCGGAATGATGTATGAATGAATGTATGAGTGTTGGCACTCTCGTTTCGTGAGACCTACCAGGGGGTATATGGGTATGGCTGCTCATGTTGACGATGCTTGCTGAGTGCAAATGCAAGCGAGATGAATGGCGCATGCCGTAACACATTGTTGCCTGGTCTGACATTGGTAAAAGGCGACGTTGGTCAAATAGGAACATGGCGAGTTTGTATTCGGCCGCGAAGACCTCCGGCGCAGTTTCGTCCACTTACCCGACGGCCGAATTCGTGATATCCAGTCCTCACATTCGATCACCTTAGATGCAACATCTAGCGACGTAGCTATTCGATATATAGGGCCTGATTCGACATCGGCATGGTTCCTTCGGAATTCTCACGGCATAGGCGAGCGAAGAAATTTCAGGCCGAGCAGTGATTTTGAGAGTCGTCATGTTCTCTCGACTGATTTGATTGCCTGTTCCTACCATAATTCAAGCACAAACATGCAGCTAACAACGGTAATATAAACCTACCGTACTCACAAAATCAAAGAGTCGACTCGACAGGGACTTTCTTGTTTACTTCTTGGAGGTGCTTTTTGCACAACAGCACTGACATGTGTGATGAGATGTCCAACCAGATACTCAAACCACGAATATGAGAACCACCTGACGCCTGGGCATGATGTGAACCAGTCAGATACTACTCCAAATCCAAAAAGCAAAATAGTGAATTAAGCTTGCCGAACTATGCATTTAGTCTAATCAAGTTGCTATGGCCTGTGCTCAGCCGTCTGAGACGGAACGGTGAATGTCATCGATGACGTAGCTCATATCCGCGATACAGCCACGACATCAACAGCCTCTAAAATCATCCCGTCAACACCTCGCATCCCAAGAACACACAGACTCCAGAATCGACTTTTTCAATGTTGCCTAGGTTGCCGGCAATATCTCTTGCTAGACACGTCACAAGGACAATCACCCTCGCGCGCACCGCTCGCCCGCCCCAGTGCCAACCCCTCCACACCACAGCCATGAGCTGGATGGACTCGTGGTCGCGCCCCTCCAAGTCGCAAGCGACGCCGGCGCCCTTCTACCTCCTCCCGCATGGCGACGCGACCCCCTACTGCCGCACCTGCGGCCGCGTCATCTCGAGCCGCAAATCCGCCGCGGCCGCCACCAAGAAGCCCGACGCCAGGAAGACCGATGCCCCCAAGTACTGCTCCTCTCGCTGTCGCGGCCACAAGCCCGGCCGTCTCGACCGCGAGATCGAGGCCGCCTTTGTACGCTTCCTGCAGCGCGACGAGGCGCTCGCCGAGACCGGCGCGCCGCGCAAGGCGACCAAGGGCGACGCGCGTCTGCTCGTGCCGTGCGATGCCGTCGAGAACCGCGTCTTCGGCAACAGGGCGGATCCCGAAAAGGTCTTTGGCCGGAGGAAGAACCGGGCGTCGAGGGTCATTGCGGAGAGGGACGGCGAGGAGGAGGAGGAGGACGAGGGCGTCGACATGCGGCAGCTGCGCGTCGGCGACGAGAGTGATCCTGGCGAGGCCATCATTGACGAGATGCTCGGCCTTGCCAGGACCAAGTCTGCCGAGGTGGACCCCAGCGTGCAGGCCAGTCTATCTGTGAGGAGCGGCACGCGCGTGAGGCCGCCGCAGACCAGGTCGCAAGTCAACGGCAGCGTGGGCGGGGAGAAGGGCAAGGCGGAGAGGGTGGAGGAGACGGAGGAGATGCGGGAGAAGAGAAATGAAGGCCAGAAGCGCGCCCACGAGAGGGAGCTCGTGAGGTGCGCGGCGCGCAGGGGTGTTGTGTTCGGGTTTGCTGTCGACGGCCAGGAGGAGAGGAGGAAGTGCGAGGCTATCATGCAGGGCAAGGTCGTCGAGCCGAGCTTTGCAAAGGGCGACTGGGCAGTTCGATGGCGTGAAGAGTAGGGTCATCGAGCATCATCTGCCGTCCGCTCTGATGGAAATAGATGCACGGAGTCTCGAGACCCATGTGACGACGAGAACAAAATATATTGCAGCGTTTGACCTACGAGGGACCTGTGTCTGTGTGGAAGAGTACCTTTTTGTTGTGCTCACGCTGTCCATGGCACGAAATGGACGAAATCCGCCAAACTCGCTTGTGGCGATCCCTCTGCGAGATTGCCAACCAGCTGCTTCCCTCGTATGTTATGGCCTGGCCCTTGCTGTTCTGACGATACGAAAAAGAACCGAGACTGGAGACTGCGTCTTTCTTGACCACAGCGTCACTGTAGGACTTTGACTCGTTGGGGGTACGGCATTGGGCCAAGCTTGCTGAGGAAATGGTGCTATGTAGGAGCTGATAATTATCCTTACTTTTACCTCGGTGGCCGGTAACTAGAACCATCATGCAAGTGCTTCTGGATTCCCCTTAGCCATAACATGGTGACCAAGATCGGCCCTCATCACAAATCCGAATGGTCAATCCGAAAGTGATACGCATACCATAATCCGTCTTACCCGTTAAGCCCTTGGGTCTCTTCGCATGAGGCCTCGGCCTTCGCCTTATCACCAACGGACATGACTGCCTCTTCGGAGTGATAGCGAGTCGGGCCTCGCAGTAAGCAACCTGCTGGAGCAAAGAAGGCGGCCCGTTGTGGTTGAACATTCTGCCGCCGTCGCCAAACCCCCCCCCCAGAAACTCCACGATTCCAGGATCCCACCCTGCAGGTTTCTCCGCATTCCGTAATTGCCGATGCATGGCGGCGTGCCTTTCCCCTCAGCCTTTAGCGGCTTGTGGGGGGGAATCGGGGCTCACCATCGGCCCGCCGTTCATCTTCATAGCACTCTTTTGCGTCCATGACTGAACAATGGCGAACCACATGTGGTATGGACCTTGCCGCTCGTAATTGCCGGCCCACACGCTACCCAAACGATCGCCGAGCGTAACCCCATGATGCCAGGAACTGGGGAAACAGTCAAGGTGACTGCTTGACATCGCCAGATTGACGCTGCGTCCGACACCCGAAGTCTGGATCTCGGCCATTGTTACCCCCCTTCTTGGATATTGCCCCCCTTTCACAGAGAGTCACGGTACAAAAGGAGGCGTTCGTCATCGACGACATATCGTGGGGTTTCTGACATGGCCTTAGATTCCTGTCTCTTGCCAAACTCCCTCTCCGAAATGAAGTCTCTCCATCTCCCCGCCGCCATGTTGCTGGTGCCGGCGGCCCAGTTCGTCATGGGGGCTTGTGCCAGCAGATGCAGCGCCCTCGTTGACTCGCTGGACCTCGAGGACACCACCGTCTGGTTCTCCAGTCATGTCGCTGCCGGCACGAACATTACGTTCCCGGGGAACCATCCGACCTGTACCCGCACCAGCCAGGTTGTTGACATTGACATCTGCCGTGTCTCCATGCTCACGACCACTGGACCGACGAGTAACACGAGCATCGAGGTCTGGTTGCCAGCCAACTGGACTGGTCGCTTCCTGAGCACCGGCAATGGTGGCACGGGCGGATGTATCCAGTATGAGGACGTCAACTACGCCGTGTCGCGGGGCTTCGCCGCCGTCGGCACGAACAACGGCCACAACGGCACCATTGGCGAACCCTTCCTCAACAACCCGGGCGTCATTGAGGATTTCGCCTACCGGGCCCTCCATCTGGGTGTCGTTCTCGGCAAGCAGGTCACCAAGGCATTCTACGGCAAGGCGCACACGAAATCGTACTATCTCGGCTGCTCGACTGGTGGTCGTCAGGGCTTCAAGGAGGCACAGGACTTCCCCGAAGACTTTGACGGCATCGTCGCCGGTGCCCCCGCTTTCGCGTTCACAAACCTCACGTCGTGGAGCGGCAGCTTCTTCACCAAGACTGGGCCGCCAGGCTCCCCCACGTTCCTGACGACCGAGCAGTGGAATGCCGTGTGGCAGAATATCTTGGTGCAATGCGACGGCCTCGACGGTCAGGTTGACGGCATTCTCGAGGATCCGGACCTCTGCCAGTACCGGCCCGAGGCCCTCATCTGCGGCGCCAACACGACGGACACCTGCCTCACGGGCACCCAGGCGCAGACGGTACGCGCCGTCTTCTCGGACCTGCACGGCATCGACGGCTCCCTCGTCTACCCGCGCATGCAGCCGAGCCCGCAGCTGGGCCTGCTCCTCGGCGGCCGGCCCTTCCCCTACACGAACGACTGGTTCCGCAACGTCGTCTACAACGACAGCAGCTGGGACGCGGCGACGCTGGGGCCGGCCGACTACGCCGCGGCCGCCAAGCAGAACCCCTTCAACATCGCCACGTGGGAGGGCGACCTGTCGGGCGTGCGCGACCGCGGCGCCCGCATCCTGCACTACCACGGCCTCCAGGACCCCATCATCTCGAGCGACAACTCGGCGCGCTACTACAACCACGTCTCGCGCACCATGGGCCTCACGTCGGCCGCGCTCGACGAGTTCTACCGCTACTTCCGCATCTCGGGCCTGAACCACTGCGCCGGCGGGCCGGGCGCCACGTTCATCGGCAACAGGGCCGTGGCCGTTGCAGGGGACGAGCCGGAGCGCAACGTGCTGTCGGCCATTGTGCGGTGGGTCGAGGAGGGCATTGCGCCCGACCACATCCTCGGCACGGCGTACATCAACGGGACCAAGACTGCGGGCGTGAATTTTGAGAGGAAGCACTGCAAGTACCCTGCGCGGAACGTGTACCGATCTGGGGATCCCAAGCTGGCGGACAGCTGGGCGTGCGTTTGAGGTGCATGGGGCGGCGTTGATTTGGCTTTTGTATATTCCACGGGGACAAGGATTTCGTGATTTTACGTGCTTTGCATGGTTTCCAATTGCTTAGTCTCAAAGTCCATGAATGGAGGCGTTGTCAGAGGAGCATGGATAGAAACGAGTCCATCTCTTGGAAAGGGAGGTTCATGTCATGAGAAGCCGGACCCAGTTGTGACGCAACGCCTGGTGCCTACTGTGTCGACGTCTGGCCAACATGGCCGTCCTACCTGCATCCATCTTGTGCTGTCGATTTTTCACCGTAGGTACATGATAGTCGCCCTGTTGATGAGGGAGAGCAATTGCCTAGCCCTTCTCGCCAAGCACAAGGTACTTTAGCGGACTGAAGTCTCTCGACGTTGCAATTCTGCCCAAGCCTTCGAAGTCGTCCGGCACGCTCGATGATCTTCTTGGCCGAACCTTCAACTACTGTTCGGGGTCTAACCTTTGACTACTGTTCAAGGCCCCCTATGACTTCATTGTACCCACAGGTTGACTCGGTTCCTCGGAGATGTGTTCAGAAGAGAGGCGGCAATTCAGACAGTGGAGCGCCATCTCATTGTCAAGGATTTTGCGCCGGCACTGTTCGTCGTCCAGGTTGACGTCAGAATACGATGAACGAATTCAAATCCGTCAATAGCGCTGTTGATTGACCATTCTAGTTGAAGACCTGCCCTTCCAGGCACCTGCCTAGCTCAGTCGCGTGAGACCAGCGCTCATGTAGGCCGATGCCGCAGCTTGCTTCACCTTCCCTCAAAGAAGACAATCATGACGTTGAGGTTGTGTCTCACGTCGTTGCCTGTACCCTTCGGGAGTGGCTGTGTGCTGAAGAAACGTTGGTGCTGTGCCGTAATCAGAGCCCACAGCTAGATGCTCCTTGACCTGTGGCCGGTCCCTTTGGTGGTCCGGGCTGCGTTTGAGGAGTCTCGGAGCATTTCGATTCAGGATTGACTCAAGATCATGCCCTCCTGTCCCGACCCGACCTTCCCGAAGCTGGTGAAGAATCACGGTGCTACTACCCTAGAATACTCATGTCCTGTTGACCAGTCCTCAACAGCGATGTCCATCGACTCGACAAATGATGAAGGTCACCAGCATGTGAATTGTCGATACGAGTGAGGCTGGAGCAGCAGCTTCACACCCGGCTCGGAAGCTAGACCACGTCAGGCCACACCAGTTGAGGGACGCAGGGGTCCCCGACCAGAGGACCAGGTTAGCTCAGATGACAGTCTAGGCGCCCTAGAACGAATGCAACGTCGTAACGCCAGAGCGCATTCTTCGCCCTTGGGTTCCGCTCATCCATCACATCACGCTCGTTTTGCCATCTTCTTCAATCCACGTCGCGCCCCCATCGACACCACGACGCCTACCGCGACACAGGACGAACGACGAACGGGCGAACGGTGTCCCTGCGGATCCCACGACGAGTGGAAGGGCGCTTGGGGGCCAAGGCCCCTTGCGATTTCGTCTTCAGCAGCATCCTCCCCATCATGTCTTCACACGCCACAGCCCTCTCTTCTCCATCAAAGCCTGAAGGCCAGGTGGCGGTCGCGCGAGCCAAGTACACCCGCCGCCGGGCCCGCGGGTGGGAAACGACCAAGCTCTTCCTGCGGTCCCTCTCGCTGACGCTCTTCCTCGGCATCTTCATCACAAACATGACCTACCTCCCCATTGGCAACACAAACTCGGCGCTCGACGAGATCTGGCCGTGGATGACCATAGCGGCGGCGGGGCCGGCGCTGCTCTGGGATGTCGCCGACCTCCTGACGCTCTGGGTGCGACGGGGCCGCGCCATCGCGCCCAAGGCGCAGATTGGCATCGAGCTCGTGCTCGCGCTGGGGGCGGGCGTCGGGGCGGGCCTCGTGGGGTGGCAGCTCACCATGACGGCGGCCGGGTTCTCGTCGGCGGACCCGGGGGCGCGCGCCGAGGGCGTCCTCGGCACGCTCTTCACGTTCATGATGCTGCTGCTGGGGGCGCGGCTCGTGCTCTTTTTCCGCGCGTGCGTCGACCGCCGGCGGGAGCTGCGCACGCGGCGCCCGCGCATCATGTACATCGAGGCGCTGGGCCAGGCCGTCTTCGTCGTGGCCAAGCCCAACGTCGGCTTTGGGCGGCTGGCCGTGGGCGGCGGCGGCGGCGGACGCGATCGCAGCGCGACGGGCGACAGCACGAAGCAGACGGCGGCGTCGGTGACGTCGGGCACGGCCAGGGACACGGACAGCTTCGCCGGCACGGAGGCGCAGACGGACGTGACGTCCATGACGACGCTCGTGCCGGGCCCCAGCCAGGCGGCGAGCATCACGGCGCGACAGAGACCGCTCATGAGGCCGCCGCCCGAGGGGTACGAGCCGGACGAGGCCGAGCTGGAGAGGCGACGGCGGGGCGATGCGCAGCCGCAGTTCATGGTGGCCGAGGTCGTGGACATGAAGTTCTCGTCCAACGTTGTCGTGAACCCCCAGGAGGGCAAATTCCTCGTCGAATCGTCACGGTCCCCCGGCGTTGCGGGCGAGTCATCACGGTCACAGTTGAGGTCGGCGCCGATGGGCGAGACGAGAGCGGACAGGCCGCGGTCTTGGGGCTGATGTAGTGCCTTTGCGTACAAGCAGTTGACTAGAATGTGATTTGTTCATCCATCTGCTCTCGACACATATCTGACGGACAGTTCTCATGGTAGTACATGATACCGTGACTGGCTGCTGCTTCCATCATCGCAATGGCCATTCCCAAGTCTTCATTTGAACAGGGCATGCATCAGGAAACTCAGGGGAGATGATCTACCCTCATCGTAATTACGCGGACTTCGAATCGTGTGGAGGCTCCCAAGAAGGGCGACCAACTGCCGAACCCTCCTTTAAAGTTTCTTGCTTCCCTCGACATGCCCGTCTTGAGGCCACGACCTGGAACTAAGGTACCTTAGGTGTACATGTCCCTGGTATACACGTTCCTGGTATACACGTTCCTGGTATACACGTTCCTGGTATACATGTTCCTGGTATACATGTTCCTGGTATACATGGCCCTGGTATACATGTCCCTGCTATAGCACGAGGCCACCAAAGAGGGTTCATGAAAAATCAATGAAACATCCTGAGGGAGCAAAATCCAGGAGACAGACGATCGAGACCAGACGTGCTCGGGACATGCGGATGCGCAGAGCATTCGGCGCCAGCAAAGTCAAATGTTGATGCCTAAAACGCTCCAGCCGCCGTCGGTGATGCATGACATTCGCCGTTCGTGACCCCGGAATCGGCTTGTGGCGCAGCAGGTCTTTGTCAGGTACCCAGGTACCTACCTACCTTAGGTACCTACGTACCTTAAGGAGAAAAAGGTAACTAGGTACCACGAGGGCCCTACCCTTGCTACCTCCTGTCCCTCCCTATGGCCTCGTTTGGTCACGCCCTTCAGGGGTTGACCCCTAATAATCCACTGAAGCCGCCCCGGCCCCTGTCCACCGACGCCTTTCCCTCGTCCCTTGCCTCTCTCCCTCTGGCCCATTGTGCCCGACTCCTTCCACCACGAGCCCACCTGTCAGCCTCGTGAAGGCCGCCTCCCGCATACCCCCCCCCCCCCCCCCAGTAGCAAGGGAGCAGGCAGGGCGAGAGTACCTGAACACGCTACCAACCCAACAGCGCATACACTGTGTGTGGACCCCTGCCATCACTGCCAGGCCGCTGGTCCCGAAACACACCACATCAGCCTTGCCAACCTCACCTCCACCTCCACCCTTTCCGGCCGAGCATCGTGAACCCCGAGCATCGTGAACCCCTCGGCCACCGACAGCAATTCGACGACGCCCAGCCTGCGTATGGCCTGCTCCATCTCACCCTGACGGCCACCGCCGCATGGCCAGCGCTCGCTCACATAGGAATTGAATTAGAGACCCGCGCATCCTCTTCACCGTCGGACGACATGCCATATCAGACTTGGCGGACAAGCAATTCAGAGCGGCCCAACAAGACGACGACACGATGGACCTGATACCACTGCGGAATCGGTCCAACACCACCACGGACACGACACCACTCGATCCCGCCAGCATCTCCATCACCACACCCGAAGATACCCGGGGCGGCGCCTTCTACACGGCCGTCCCCCACCACCGCAGCACCCACCGCACAGCCTTCGTGCTGCGCGTCACCTCCATCATCCTCTCCGTCATGGCCATCTCCGTCATCTGCTACTCCTTCACCCACGACGACATTGAGCCCGACGTCAACGCCGCCTTTGGCGCCCCGACCGCCATTGTCGCCCTCGTCTGGTCGTCCCTCGACATCGTCCTGCGCATCGTCCGCGACCACGGCCTCTGGTGGCGCAACGCCGACCGCGACCGCCGCGACCGCCGCTTCAGCTTCGGCCACCCAGGCCTGCACGTCACCGTCCACCTCGCCATCTGGCTCGGCAGCGCCGTGCTGAGCATCTTTCTGTGGCAGAGCTACGTCAACCAGCGCACGCCATGGCCCGACTGGTACAACCCGGACGTATTCACGCCCGGCTACGACTACCTCAGCTCGTCCAGGCGCACCATGACCGTCGCCGTGCTCCACGCCCTGCTGCCGTGCGTTCTTCCGCCCCCTTGACACCCTCGTGTCGCTGTGTGCTAACAGTACCCACCGTCCAGGATCGTGCACTTTGTCCTCTTCGTCTTCGCCTGCATCGCCGCCGACGACAAGAAGAGGCACCACGTCGACGTCGTCTTCGTGCCGAGGGAGGACCTGCGGCAGTTTGAAAAGGTCCCGCCGGCGACGCTGTTCGAGGTCGTCCGCCGGAAGAGGCTGCCTATTGCCTACTATGCGAATCACTCGGTGCGGTACGAGCCCGGCGCCGACGGGACCGTGCAGATGCTGCGGGACTATAGCAGTCGGCAGCTGTCATGACGGGGGACTGGGTGTTCTTGGTTGGCGTTCTTCTTTTTCTTACGGACACTCGGTACTATATACTGCCAACATGCTACTTCGCCTTATGACACTTGCAGAGGTGAATTTGAGGCGCAACTCAAGGTGGCCTTTTATGTCCTTTCCATAGGACAGAATGTTAATACTATATGCCACATGTCTTCTTGGGCCATATGACACGGTATTTCTGTCGCCTCATCCACCAGGACTCGATATCCAACACACAGGGCACTCCATCCCCACACCACAGGTCATGTGACCGTGACGTCAGGCTTATTTCGAACTGTCAACATTGGCTGGGCATGCATTACGCCCCCCCCCGGAGCGGTGAGACCACTGTCTACAAACGCAAGAAGGGTCTCATCGTGCGATAGCGGGAGAAAAAAAAAGCGAGGCCTACGTGACCATCGTTGCCGACATCCCAAGGCGTCGCCCTGGCTGGCATGGCACTGCAACCTGGGTGCTTGCACCGCCTCGCGTTGGCCGACAAAATCGCCTCTGGCATCGCCTCTGGCGCCCAAACTGCTGTTCTGACTGATGTACCTTATCGGCGGCCCTATCATATCGCTTATCAGGACCAAATTTTCAAAAATCCAACCCGGCTGCCCCACCATGCCCACCACTCCCTCACACTTCCAAGGACCCCCCACCTTTTCCTTTGCCAGCCCGAAATCATTCTTGAGGTGCTTCTTCGCACCGCCCTAGACCTGACGTCTACCTCCTGTCCAACATCCCCCCGACACGCCCTTTTCTTGTTTCCATCATTCGGGCATTCCTTGGAGGCTTCATTTTTCTTTGCTACATCAAACGCAAGGGAACTTCGACGGCCTTGACCAACGCAGCGTACAGTCTCGACGACCGCGCGCATAATTTTCTGATACCCCTCCTACATCTTTCTCCTCCTGCCCCGCCATCCCACCCAAAACCCCGCCTGCAACGACAACACACACATCACCACACAGCACAACCCGTCATCATGGCCCCCTCCGCGTCCAAGGAGAAGCGTCTCGCGAAGAAGGCTGCCGAGGGCAAGCTCGACAAGAAGACGGCCGCCAAGCGTGTCGGCTCCAAGAACGCCAGCACCGCCGCCTCCTCCGTCAACGGCGACGAGCCCGAGCTCGACGCCCACGGCAAGCCCATCCAGGCTGATGGCCCCGCCACCGGTGCCGACAAGGCCGACGAGGTGAAGCGTCTCGCCGACCAGATGGACAAGCACGGCATCTCCGACCGTGTCACCACCGGTGTCCTGGCCTCGACCCAGACCTCCAAGGACGTCAAGATCACCTCCACCTCCCTCGTCTTCCACGGCCGCCAGCTCATCCAGGACAGCACCATGGAGCTGTCCTACGGCCGCCGCTACGGTCTCCTCGGCGAGAACGGCTGCGGAAAGTCCACCCTCCTCAAGGCCATCGCCGCCCGCGAGTTCCCCATCCCCGAGCACATTGATATTTACCTGCTGAACGAGGGTGCCCCGCCCACCGACCTGGGTGCCCTCGAGTGGGTCGTCACCGAGGCCGAGCGCGAGATGGAGCGTCTCGACAAGCTCGCCGAGCAGATCCTCGAGGACGAGGGTCCCGAGAGCATTGTCCTCATGGACGTCTACGATGTACGCATGCCCTGCCTCTCATTTCCTTCCGAGACATGTTCGTGAGACTGACCCGCCCTGCAGCACATGGAGTCCATGGACCCCTCCACCTTCGCCACCCGTGCCTCTCTCATTCTGACCGGTCTCGGCTTCAACAAGCAGACCATCAACAAGAAGACCAAGGACATGTCCGGTGGCTGGAGGATGCGTGTCGCGCTGGCCAAGGCGCTGTTCGTCAAGCCGTCGCTGCTGCTGCTCGACGACCCCACGGCCCATTTGGATCTCGAGGCCTGTGTGTGGCTTGAGGAGTACATGAAGAAGTGGGAGCGCACCCTCGTGCTCGTCTCCCACTCGGAGGATTTCCTCAACGGTGTCTGCAGCAACATGATTGACATGCGCGACAAGAAGCTCATCTACTACGGTGGTAACTACGACTCGTACGCCAAGACGCGGGCCGAGTTGGAGACGAACCAGATGAAGGCCTACCACAAGCAGCAGGACGAGATTGTTCACATTAAGAAGTTCATCGCCTCGGCCGGTACCTACGCCAACTTGGTCAGGCAGGCCAAGTCGCGCCAGAAGATTCTCGACAAGATGGAGGCCGACGGCTTCATCCAGCCCGTGCACCAGGACCGCGTCTTCACCTTCCGCTTCGCCGACGTGGACAAGCTGCCGCCCCCCGTCCTGTCCTTTGACAACGTCACCTTTTCCTACTCTGGTGACGCCAAGGACGACCTGTACCGCAACATTGACCTCGGTTTCGACATGGACTCCCGAACCGCCCTCGTCGGCCCCAACGGTGTCGGCAAGTCGACCCTGCTGCGTCTCATGACGGGCAAGCTCTCGTCCACCAACGGCTCCGTCACGCGCCACACCCACCTCAAGCTCGGCCTCTACTCGCAGCACTCGGCCGAGCAGCTCGACATGACCAAGTCGGCCCTCGACTTTGTGCGCGACAAGTACTCGGAGAAGTCCCAGGACTACCAGTACTGGCGCCAGCAGCTCGGCCGCTACGGCCTGACGGGCGAGTCCCAGACCTCGCTCATCGGCACCCTGTCCGACGGCCAGAAGAGCCGTATCGTCTTCGCCCTGCTCGCCATTGAGAGCCCCAACATGCTGCTGCTCGACGAGCCCACCAACGGTCTCGACATTCCCACCATTGACTCGCTGGCCGACGCCATCAACGCCTTCAGCGGCGGTGTCGTCGTCGTGTCGCACGACTTCCGGTATGCTTCCTTGGCCCCTTCCTTCTTTTCTGGCCCAACGCTTGCTAACACGTCTCACAGTCTCCTCGACAAGATTGCCAAGCAGATCCTGGTGTGCGAGAACAGGACCATCAAGCCTTGGGACGGCACGATAGGCGAGTACAAGAACTACCTGCGCAAGAAGATGATTTCGTCCGGTGCCGTCTAAGCGGCGAGAGAGTGAGAGCGCGTTTTGTTGCAGACAAAACGATGACGAGACGAGAAGCCTCCGAGAAGAGAGACGATGAGCAAAGAACGATCACGACCGGAATGCGAAAGAAGGGGGGGGGGGGAAGTTCCCGAAAAGAGCGCTCATCTGGTCGAGGCTCACGACGGCGCGCGGCGGGAGAGGATGCCCGGGGAGGAGTCAGGGCATCATCCTGAAGGCTTTGGGAGGGGGAGGTTTCGGCATGAGGATAGATAGAATGCATGCATGTTTTCGATTTGACCAGTTTTGTCTTGGCCGAATGGGTCTTGTGCCAACACCGCCCTGCCCCCGTCTCGGCCTGTGGTCCCAGTGCATGCGAGGCCATATCTTTGCATGTCGTCAGGGCGCCGGTGTCTCCTGTCGCTGTGAGGCGTGCTGTTCTCCTGTCGCTGTGAGGCGCCAGCACGTATGAGGAGCGCAACATGTGACATGCGTGACACGAGAGGACACCGTGATGCCGAACCTTCCCCGTGTATCCCTGCGCTGGCGGGGCGGAGCCCTGCCTGGGAAGAGCCGGGCTTACCTGTACGATGTGGTGCAGCCTCGGAAACAGTAAAAAAAAAATTGTCCGCCCCGTCCCAGCATTTTTGCGCGCGCGCGCGTGTGAGGATGACGCACGTGTCTGGGTGTAGTCTAGAATGAATTTTCCCAGAGCAGACGACAGACAGCCTGAGGCCACAGTAAGAGGGGGCGGTGGTGGAAAAGCAGGGAATGGTGGAGTCTGGGCACTGTGCCGGTTCGCCAGGTCCTGCTGGCTCGCTGGCTGCTCAGCTGCGCAAGGTAGGTAGGTAGCTGTCAGTGAGCCTAGGGGGCACGAATGTGCGGGCGGGCCGTCGTGAGGTGGTGGTCTCTACGGCAAGGGAGCACATCAGGGTCATTCGGGGAGCGATGAGGGGGTGAGATCTCGGTAAAGCGACGAGGGATGGTGGTTTTGGCGATGAAATCACGAAGTTGAGCGGTAAAAATGTGGTTTCTTGATGGATTGGGGCGTGCAGCGTGCGGTTAGGGACTGTGGGCGAGAAAGTCCGGCACGGTTGGGTGAGTTTGCACCGTGGCTGTGACGTACAACCAACCCCAGGAGGCGCGAGATCCATCCACCTTCGACGATGCAGTACATTCCGAGCGCGATCTGTGCGCATGGCACCGTCTGTACATTCATCGACGACAATATATTCATGCTATTCATGCATCGCGCATCTGCAGTCAATAGATAGCACGGGCGACCCTTGAACACGTTGCTCCATGTGACAGAGGCGAGGCGATGTGGCATCGTAGGGCCAGTTCCTTTTCCGGGCCAGCAGCGCTGCGGCCACAAAGAAGCGGAAGAAAATGGGCGTTGGGAGGCGAACGAGTGGAAGCCCACTTTTGAGACCATCGCCAGTCAGGTCCCCCCCCAAGCAGGTAGGTATATGGTACCTTAGGGTCGCGCGCATCCTTTGGGGGGGATGGAATACTGGTCCCCCTTCCCCTGCTGTCATGGTATCCATGGCGAGACAACGGACGTGGGCTTGCAATGTAGACGTCAAGCATCTGCGCGAGGCATGAGTGAAACAGAGTGATGCCCAGATTCCGGTCGCTACGCGTTGGCATGACCACAATCCAATGAAGCCTTTCCTGACAGATCGTACCTTGGGGGGAGGTGGCAGAAGGGGGGATGCAGAACAGGAACGGTTTCCGGGAGGTGCACTAGTCCATATGTGGCTAGATGGGGCGGGTTAGCGGCTGAGGACAGGCCATGGACGTGGAGACGGGCTGCTGCTCCCTGGTGCTTGTGCTGGTGCTGGTGCTGGTGCTGGTGCAAGGTGCAAGGCGCAAGGCGCAAGGTGTGTTGCTGGAGCTGCATCTCGCGGGATGGATTGACTGACGCCAACCATAGTGGAAGCGTGGAAGCCCGGGGATAGGCAGACGTAGACGAAGAGTGCGAGAACGGGAGAGTGACGGACAAGACGCGAACAGAGCCTGCCCTGCCCTCATGTCATGACCTTTTGACCCTTTTTCTGCCCCTTCAGATCATCCGAGTCTCGGTCCAAGGCCACGAAGCCGTCTCCAGCTCGCCCTCACGACAATCCGACCCCAACTGACCCGATCCAGACCAACCTGGCCAAACCCCGAAACCTGGGCCATCCCCATCCCCATCCATCCCCAATCCACTGCACCCGACCATTCATCCATCACAACACCACACGTTCACTCCCCTTTCTGCATTTCCCGCAATTCTTCATCCACTCCCCCCCCCCCGGCTATCGCCTGGTCTTGCTTCCCTTCCACGTCCCTCCTCTCCCACCCCATCTTCCCAAACACCCCATCATCCCCTTCTCCCCCTCCCATGCCATCCCGCCGGCTTTGACTTCTCCCACACAACAACACCACACCAGTTATCGTCACCTTCTCTTTTTTCCCACACAACCCATTCTGGGCACGCAGTCTCCACCACCACCACCAACTCGGCCGCGTACTCTACCATCCCAATCGCATCGCCACCAGCACGCCCGAACCACCCGACCATCGCGACATCTTCGCCATCATCGTCCTCTGCCCTCTTTTCCGGTCGTCTATCCTTCTAGATTTATACGCGAGGCCCACGGCCACTGTCGGAGCATATGGGCCCACGATAGTCCTCGTCTTCTGCTCGACTTCGATTCGGCTCTCCCCCTCCCCCCCCCTACCTCCTCCCCTCCTACTATCGCATCGTGTCGACCGCTGCGAACGACTGCGACTCTCCCCGGTGCCCCTGCATAGACTTGGATCACCATGGATCCGCCGAACGACTTTCGATCCACGGTGCTACAAGCGCCTTCGCGCCGCGACGGCGAGGAGGACCGCGAACGCGACCGTGATCGTGAACGTGATCGTGAACGTGAACGCGGTGATCGCGACAGACGTCACCTCCACGACATTAGCTCTCTCGTCTCGCCCCAGGCACCACCGCCACCGCGACACGCCGGCTTCAGCCTGCGCTCGCCGACCCAGTCCGACTTCCAACACCCGCACGCGCACTCGCACGCGCACTCGTCGTCCGCCTACTCGTCGCCACATCATCAGCAGCCGCCATCGCACCATCACGACCATCGCTCGCCGCCGCCCTCGTCGCGATCCCATCAGCCCGTGCTCTCCCATCCGACCCCGTTCAGCTCGTCTTCGGGCCCCGTCGGTCCTCTCGCGCCCACGCTGCCAGCTCTCGCCGGAGCCTCGTCGTCGCCCTCATCGGGCGCCCACCTGCAAGGCCCGCCTCTGTCGCCTCTGCACCCGCCCAGCGGTGCTTACTACCCCCCGCCCGAGTCGCAGTCGCAGTCGCAGTCCCAGTCCCAGTCCCAGTCGTCGCAGAAAACTTCGACCCTACGCGATGCCAAGCCGACGACGAGCAGCTATTACGACCCGCTGACCGATACCACAAGAGAGAGGAGGATATCAGATGCAGCCGCGCCGCGGTACCCTGCATCATCAGTGCAGGCATCACCACCAAAGGTTTGAGGCTTCGCCGCCGCCCCCCCCTGGTTCTTCTTCTCTCTGTCCGACCCTTCCGTCTGCGTTTTGCCGTTCCTCCTTTCGTCCTCAGGAATGCCTCCATCCAACCCATGCCCGTCCCCCTTTCTGCATCTTGTTCCCATCCAACCCATGCCTACCCACCTACCTATGCAGCAGCACTCTTCTTTGTCTTGGCATTCACTCTCGTCCTGCCTCGCCTACCGACTTTGCTTGCTTGTGCTGTGCTCCTGCCCATTGAACCAAGACAAGCCAAAGCGTGAACACCAGCTGGCAGGCACGCAAAGAAAAAACGTGCACTGGGCTTTGCACTGCACCTGCCCACGCCCCGAACCTGATCCAGATAAGAAATGCGGATTGCGGACACACAAGATTGCTTGGGCTTGGGCTTGGGCTTGGACTCCCCGTTTCTTTCCCCCCCAATTCTCCCGTCACGACCTCAATGACACGAGGCGCGCCCCAGAAAAATTAAACCCCATCCATCCTCCCTTTCCTTACCTGGATCCACGTCCTCCCGACCCTCCTCATCCATCGCCCCAATCACCCATCTCCTGCGTCCCATCGCCATAGTTGTCCCTGCCCATCAAACGAAACGCAACCTCCCTGGCTGACATTGCATCAATCATCCAACAGCCGCGCGACCCGTATCCCTACTCGCAGGCTTCCACGCCTGCCGACCATCAGCAGCAGCATCACGCCTATTATCGAAACGGCAGTCACGCCTCGCCAGGCCCCACGACCTACTCGCCACGGAGTCCCGTCTCGCACGCCCACGCCGCACCGCCCCTGACCGGTTCCATCAGTCCATCCATCCGCCCGCCGCCGCTGCACATGACCTCGCCCAACGCGAGACGAGCTGCTTCTCCTGCTGCACACCACGCGTCCTCGAATGGTACCTCACACGTCGTGCCCCCCATGGCCAAGTCCGACGTCTCGCCTCTGAAGGCGCCGGCGGCAGCTCCGGCCAGTGTATGTGAACGCTCCCTTGTTTGGCCGACAGAACCGTGAAGCTAACCTTGTATTTTTTTTCTCTCATTCAACAGACCCCGAGTCGTGCCGACCCCATGTCCTTTTCCAACATCTTGTCGAGTTCCGAGCCTGTCGCCAAGCCTAGAGCGCCATCGCCCCCCCCGGTTGCTGTCATGGAAGAGCGCGCCCACGAGCCCAAGGCCGAGGTCGAGACCGAGACCGAGCCCGAACGCAATGACCGGACCATGATGGACATTGATACCGAGGTCGAGGCCGAGCCTGAATTCGACGCGCCCACCCCCAAGATTCACATCGCCAAAGGCAAATCGCGCGATTCAACACCGACCGTCAAGGAGAAGAAGGCTAAGGTGCCGAGGAAATCCAAGTCGCGTGCTTCCGATATCAGAGACGCAGAGTCGACGCCTAAGACCAGTCGGCGTGCCTCGTCTGCTCGTGAGACGCCCACACCCCGTGTCCCTGTCAAGAGGCAGGCCAACGGCCAGCCCAAGCAGAAAGTGCTCTCCGCCGACAAGGAGAAGAAGGTGCAGGCCCAGATTGCCAAGCTCGACGCCGAGACCGACGACGTCGACGACACAGAGCTCGATGACGAGCATCGGAGCTTCCGGCAGCGCGGCCAGAAGCGTCGCCGTATCATGCAGAACTTGGAGGCTCAACACAACGACAGGCGTCGCACGCATGGCAGTGAGAAGATTGTCAACCGCATCAACACGCACACGGAGCAGAGCAAGCGACGCTACGATGAGCTCTACTACGAGGAGGCTCTCCAAGAGGTCCGTGAACGCGAGCTGTATGCCGAAAAGGAGCGTAAGAAGGACATGCAGCGCAAACGTCGGCGCGAAAAGTCCATGGCCGTCACCATGGAAGCCAAGAAGGCCGCACTGGAGAAGGCCCGCCTCGCCGAGGACGACGACGAGAAGGCCCGCCACCTGCGTGATGCCGAGCGCGCCAACAAGAAGGCCCAGCAGACGAAGCTGATTCTTCAGAAGGGCATCAAGGGGCCCGCACGCAACCTCGAGCTCAACCTCGAAGGCGGCACCATGTCCACGTTCCAAGCGTCCGACATGGAGCCCGGCACCAAAACCAAGGGCAAAGGTCGCGGAGGTCCCAGGCCGAAGAAGTCGAAGGAGCAGAAGCAAGCCGAGAAGGACTCTGCCGAGGCTGCCCAGCGCGCGCTCGACGCCGGCGAAGAGCTGCCACCCAAGGACGAGTCGAAGATTCGCATCAAGCTCAACAAGTCCAAGTCCAAGGACAAGGAGAAGAAGGAGAAGAAGGACAAGGACAAGGACAAGGAAAAGGAGGACGGCGCCGACGTCGATGCCACCGAAGCCGATGAGGAGGTGAAGGAGCCCAAGGAGCCCAAGCCCGCCAAAGAGAAGGTCGAGGAGCCACCGAGCAAGGACGCCAAGTTCCAGACCAAGGGCTACAACCAGATCTACGACCAAATCTGGCGCGATCTCGCACGCAAGGATGTCAACAAGACCTTCAAGCTGGCTGCCGAGTCTTACCAGGTCAAGTCGTCCAACCTCAAGAAAACGGCCATCCTTGCTTCCAAAGAGGCCAAACGCTGGCAGCTGCGCACGAACAAGGGCACCAAGGACCAGCAGGCGCGCGCCAAGCGAGTCATGCGTGACATGATGGGCTTCTGGAAGCGCAACGAGCGCGAGGAGCGTGACCTTCGCAAGGCCGCCGAGAGGCAGGAGCTCGAGAATGCGCGCAAGGAGGAAGCCGACCGTGAGGCAGCCCGCCAGAAGAGGAAGCTCAATTTCTTGATCTCGCAGACGGAGCTCTACTCTCACTTTATCGGCAAGAAGATCAAGACGGCCGAGGTCGAGAGGAGTACCGACAATCCTGAACTCGCCAGCGAGAACAAGGAGGTGACGCAACAAAACGAGGCCATGGACATTGACGAGGCGAGCAACGTCGGTGGCAAGGTCACCAACTTTGAGAACCTCGACTTCGACGCCGAGGACGAGACGGCGTTGCGGCAGGCCGCCATGGCGAATGCGCAGAACGCCATTGCTGAGGCGCAGGCCAAGGCGAGGGCGTTCAACAACCAGGACAAGGACGGCGGCGACATGGACATGGACGAGGAGGGCGAGATGAACTTCCAGAACCCCACGGGCCTCGGCGACGTCGAGATCGGCCAGCCCAAACTCATCAATGCACAGCTCAAAGAATACCAGCTCAAGGGTCTCAACTGGTTGGCCAACCTCTACGAGCAAGGCATCAACGGCATTCTCGCCGACGAGATGGGTCTCGGCAAGACTGTGCAGTCCATCTCGGTCATGGCCTACCTCGCCGAGAAGTACGATATCTGGGGCCCCTTCCTTGTTGTTGCACCAGCCTCCACCCTGCACAACTGGGAGCAGGAAATTCGCAAGTTCGTTCCTGAATTCAAGATTCTGCCGTACTGGGGCTCTGCCGGCGACCGAAAGGTGCTCCGCAAGTTCTGGGACCGCAAGCACGTCACGTACAAGAAGGAAGCCGCCTTCCACGTCTGCGTCACCTCGTACCAGCTCGTTGTCTCCGATGTCGCCTACTTCCAGAAGATGAAGTGGCAGTACATGATTCTCGACGAGGCGCAGGCCATCAAGAGCTCGCAGAGTTCTCGTTGGAAGAGTCTCCTCGGCTTCCACTGCCGCAACCGACTTCTGCTTACCGGTACACCCATTCAGAACAACATGCAGGAACTGTGGGCACTGCTCCATTTCATCATGCCGTCGCTGTTCGACTCGCACGATGAGTTCAGCGAATGGTTCTCCAAGGACATTGAATCGCACGCGCAGAGTAACACGAAGCTCAACGAGGACCAGCTCAAGCGTCTGCACATGATTCTGAAGCCGTTCATGTTGCGTCGTGTCAAGAAGCACGTGCAGAAGGAACTGGGTGACAAGATTGAGAAAGACATCTTCTGCGATCTCACCTACCGACAGCGAGCCATCTACGCCAACCTCCGGAACCAGATCAGCATCATGGACCTCATCGAGAAGGCGACAACAGGCGACGACAATGACTCGGGCACACTGATGAACCTCGTCATGCAATTCCGCAAGGTTTGCAACCACCCCGACCTGTTTGAGCGTGCCGACACGACGTCACCCTTTGCGTTTGGCTACTTTGCGGAGACGGCTTCATTCATCCGCGAGGGCAACAATGTCGACGTTGGCTACTCGACACGCAACATGATTGAGTATGACCTCCCGCGGCTGGTCTGGCGAGAGGGCGGTCGCCTCAACAAGGCTGGCAGAGACAACCAAAAGGCCGGCTGGCGGAACAAGAGCCTGCAGCATCTCTTCAACATTTGGACGCCGGAAAACGTCCGCGAGAGCGCCAAGGGTGCCGAAGCCTTTTCGTGGCTGCGGTTTGCGGATGTCAGCGCTGGCGATGTCTATCGGGCAACTCATCAAGACTCGTTCACCCGCGCTGTCGAGCTTGCGCAGCACAGCGACCGCCTCGGTCACATGCAGATCGCATATGACGATGGGGAAGATGAAAACTTCACGCCGGCCCATGCCCTCTTCCAGATCAAGGCACGAAACGACCGCAAGCCGCTGGCCGAAGTCACACAAGGGGGCATACTGGCGAACCTCATGAATGTGGCACGCAGCGACTACAACGAGTCTGGGCTCGGCCGCCTGGAGCAGGCTGCGCGCCCGAGCGCGTCTGCGCCCCCCATCGAGGTCGGCTGTCTCAGCAGCGGCACCAACATTGAGCGTGAGGGTGTCCTGTTCAACCCGGCGATCCGTAAGATGCTGGCCGGCCCCACGCCTATCGAGGAGAAGGCCCTGGTCACACAGCAGGTGCCGCTCGCTCATTATCCTCCCCCGGCCATGCTGCCCGCACCCGACAACGAGAAGAAGAAGTTCACGAACATTGGAGTGCCGTCGATGCGCCGCTTCGTCACAGACAGCGGCAAGCTGGCCATGCTGGACGGTTTGCTGTTCAAGCTCAAGAACGAGGGTCACCGTGTCCTGTTGTACTTCCAGATGACGCGCATGATTGATCTCATGGAGGAGTACCTCACGTACCGGAACTACAAGTACTGTCGACTTGATGGTTCCACCAAGCTCGAGGACAGACGAGACACGGTGGCTGACTTCCAGACGCGGCCCGAAATCTTCATCTTCCTGCTGTCCACTCGTGCTGGTGGTCTCGGCATCAACCTGACAACCGCAGACACGGTCATCTTCTACGATTCGGATTGGAACCCCACCATTGACTCGCAGGCCATGGACCGCGCTCACAGACTGGGTCAGACCAAGCAGGTCACCGTCTATCGTCTCATCACGCGTGGCACGATCGAGGAGCGGATTCGCAAGCGCGCGCTGCAGAAGGAGGAGGTGCAGCGCGTCGTCATCCAGGGTGGTGGTGCCAGTGTCGATTTCTCGGGCCGTCGTGCGCCGGAGAACCGCAACCGCGACATCGCCATGTGGCTGGCCGATGACGACCAGGCGGAGATGATCGAGCGGCGCGAGAAGGAGATGCTCGAAGCCGGCGAGTTTGACAAGCCGCCGGGCGCGACGAAGAAGAAGGCCGCCGCCAAGAGGAAGCGGCCGGTCGGCGACGGTGTCAGTCTCGACGAGATGTACCACGAGGGTGAGTTTTCTATTCTGCGGTACTAGCACGACGATGGTTCTAACTTGGTTTCCAGGCGAAGGCAACTTTGATGATAAACAGGCCTCGGGTACGGCGACGCCGGTCGCAGCGGAAGCCGACGCGAAGGGGACGAAAAAGCGACGCGGCGGCGTCACGGGCAAGAAGGCCAAGAGCATGAAGCAGCGTCTCGCTATCGCAGACGGACAGGTGGACGGATAGACGGCTGGCGGGCGTGGTGTATGACTACTTGTTTGAGGCAGCACCTGCATGCTACAATGGATGGAGGGTGGCTTGCGCGTGGAAGAAGAACGTGTTTGTCTCTTTTTACTCACTCGCCTTTTTTTTTTCTTATTTCTGGAGGACAAAAAAGAGTCCCATCACTAGGGATTCCGCGCCGGCTCTGGCTTCAGAAGGATGCCTGTGTTTATTATGCGGCGCGGGGGGGCTGGCGTTGTGTGCGCTCCCTCGAGGGGCAGTAGAGGACACGGCTGGAGTTGTGTCGTGTATCACCAGCAGTTAGGAAGACTATTGATTGACTGGACCTATTTGAGTGTGAGAAGCGGCGTGCTATGATGTACCCGGCACTAGGGTGTTTGCTCATATACAGGTGTCTAGGTGGGTTCGATGCCGTCAGGCGGAGAAGGGGGCATAGGTTGATGGGTAGAGTGAACAGAGAGATCAAAATGAAACAAAGGATAAGATTGGGAAGGATGGAATACGTTTGGAAGTGAGGGGAGGGCAAACAAAACGCAAAAAGAGAAGGAAGCCGAGCTTCTTGTGGTGATCTCCCCGACCGGAATCGAGCCGGTGACCTTTCGATGGAAATCTGGGACAATTACAGTCGAACGTGATAGCCAACTACACCACAGGGAGTTATTGTTGTAAGCGGCAACGACCGCATAGATGATATTGTGGAGACTTTTGTCATGGAACTCGGGGGCGCTCCACTTCTTGCTTGCGGCGTGCTTGCTACCATGAGGCTCGTGAGGCAGATGTGCTTGGACGTGAATGCTTGTGTTTGAACTGCATCTTTATTTACTTTTTCCCTGATGTCTCTATGACCAGATCTAGTATGCTGAGATGACTGCCTTTGGGCTTTGCATGCGGCGCTCTGAGGGCTTCTATACGTGCTGATCATTATATAAGCACTGGGAATGGAAGCGGGACCTGCCCGGCTGGCATAAACATTCACTGCCACGTCGTCGAGACTACATGTAGGAAGGAGTATTATAGTGTCTGTATTGTAATGTATTGAAACCTGGCGGGCGCACAGCACGAGGGCTACCCAAGGTGAGTCTTTCAAGGCTGGGTGGCTAGATATAAGGTTTTGATCGGGGCGGCAAGTAACAGATACTCTCCATGGTATTTAAGTATTCATAGCGTAGGTCCCTATATTGACGTCCTCCTCCTACCAGTATCAGCTTGTCAATGCAGCCCAGAAAACGCACTGCATGTGATTGCCCCAGAGATCGGCATCGTTGGGATCTTGAGGGTGTTTCGGCGCGCCGTGTCAATATCTGATGGTGGGTGAACGGTCATGTAGCTGCCAACTTTTTGGTGAAGTTTCGTCTGCTTCATGTCGCTGTTGATGCCAGAGCGGTGGCCAAAGTGCTCAGGGGTCGATTGAGTCGTTGGTGCGATTTTCAATGTTGCGACAGAGATCGTCGTGTCCTCATTCAGCTCAGTCATGGGTCATTCGTTGAAGGCTGTCTGACGAACACGCATATTCAACACTATGACAGCTTGGACATGTTGTCGTTGCATAGGCCTTGGGCCTGCACCTCGATATATGCAGCCCGGTGTAATCAACGACATTAATTCAACAAGTATCCTTTTAGCTCAATTGGGTAAGGTAGCTACCGTGAGGCACATACGACTTCGTGAGGGCTGCCACTGAGCCCCATTGGGGCCAACCGTGATCAATACCCATAACGAATAAGCATGATCAGTAGACATGATCCAGCCCAGCGTTTCGGGCGATTTATCCAATGTTAGGCTGCGTATAGGTCGTAGTTTCTTTGCATTACTGAGCCAGTTACTCCGACACTTCTGACGATATAAAGAATCTTGTCCCTCTCTTGACTTGAGCATCATTGTTGACCACGCCTTCCCTCAGTACACAGAAAACACCACACCGGGCACCTTGATTCACAACAATGGCCTCTTCATATGGTGCACGCGGCGTCAGGCATGACAACAGACCTGATCAGCTGCTTCAAATCGACCTGAACACCCCCGCGAAAGGCATACGGATCGCATTGGCCGCCGAGTCTGCTTTCAACATCTTCACGGCCATGACGATGATCATCACCCCCCGTTCAGCTCTGCAAGGCCAACTGATGCCATTTGACCTTCGAAACGGCCTTTCGCAAGAGCAGGCGTCTCCCGAACTAGCATCTGTCACGCAGTATCTCGGGGCTTTCGTATTCGCGACGAACGTGGGACTCCTGCTGGGGATTCCGAACAGGCCCGGGGCCATTGATATTAGGCGAACGGCGTACGCGACATTCGCAGCCCTGGAAATCACATACATCGTGATTATCCTGTGGCAATTATGCGTTGCGGGACAGAGCGCGACCGGCGTCCGCATGGAAAAGGCACTGTGGGCTTACCTGGTACCCATGTCTGTCGCGTGTGGGCTCAGGCTCTGGACTCTTTTCGTGCGACCCGACTGGATGGGCAGGTATATTATCAAGAGAACAGAGTAGTCACTGGCTATGGAGACAGGGGAAACCACTTCCCCTGAACAGAGGTTTCTCGCGAGGTACACAAACCTCAATACATGGCTTGGCGCATTTGCTATCAGAATTGAACGCATGAAATGTGCTTGATAGTAGATCAGACAGGGTTTCGGTAGAAAGCCGCTCCCTTGTTTAGTGTCCCTGGGCTCAGCCAGATCAAAGCTTGAAGTAATGCGCAGTCCAAGTTAGAACGGGGGTATAGTCTCGAGCAGACACCACGGCTGAGGCAATGCTGAACGATAGTAAAAGGCCCTGGATCCCACGACACAGATCCTTACCATCAATTTCAGGAATGGTGGCTAAGAGGAAAAGGAGCTCCCTTACCAAGAGCCAGCCAAATGGCCTCATGCCTCCGTCGGCTGTGAAGTGATCCATCATCATAATTTACTGCGGGGAACCGCAGCATTCCTGCATGACGTCGTTCATGGCGATCTCGTGGCTTGGCCACAGCGTACACCGAATCCGTCCAGTAGAGACGATACGCATACGCGTATCTCCGAATCCTGGGTGAACTTGGCAGCCTACCAGAACCAGACAGGGTCCTTGTTTAGAAGGCCTCAACAGCGCCCGCGGGTGCTGTGTGCCCAATGGTCAGCCCTGCTGTGCCGATCGTCAGCCCTGGAGGGTGCATCGCCCCCGAGGTTCAACAGCGCTTGTCTCACAAGCCTCCTTTGCCCTGCATCACAATGATCGGATTGATAAAACAGTGGCATGTCCGCAGGGCCGGACGCGCCATGAGGATAACACCCTTCGACATCTAACCTGACCCAAGAGTTAGTTCCCCAATCTTCATCTTCAAATCTCCAAGATGGTCTTTTGCCTTGTTCTGTTCTACGCGGGGGACTTCCCGTCCCGCGTCATCACCGTCGTCCTGGGTGCGGCGTCGCTTGCGCTTGCGGCCGTTCTGCGCTCCGATCACAGCGGTACTTTCAAAGTACCGCTTGCTTTGGTATGTTTCGCTGACAACCTTGACAGTCTGAGGCTGACCAAGGATTCCACGCAGACAATTGTGTCCACAACATGGGTCGTCGTCGCAGCATCACTCTCCGGCTGGGTCAAGTACCGCAAGGTCCCATTTTGTGTCCAACGCACTACCTCCCTGATCATCGGCGATCTCATTGCTCTCGGTTGTTGCGCTGCTTGTGCAGCGCTGGTGAGCAGTGCTGATACATCATCCAATTCGACTCTTCGAAACATTCTCACCGTGGTCCAGATTATTTCCATGTACGTTTTCGAATACGGGACACTCTTGGTGCTTGTTGCTCTCGCTGACCGTTTCCGCAGCCTACTTCTTGCACTCTGCATCATGTCCTTGGCATGGCAATGGCGCAGGGCTAGCAAGGGCGAGCTGGACAACCCGCCAAAGGTGCATCCTGCGGCGTATCATACGTCCATGCCAATGCCGAATCCTGTAGGCTAGACTGCCGTTCAGGGATGCTGGATAAACCCTTAGTGCTCTGATGATACCCGGTTATAAAGTCTTGTGATGATCGTTATTATGGAATCTCTTGTGCGTGAAAGGCTGCGATGGTGTTAAATCAAGTAAATAGTGCATGCTGTTGTGCAACCGGCGACCGTTAAATGCTCTGTCTGTATGTGTGGTCTCTGTTCCTCTGTGAACGTGGCCAAATCTAGTTTGTGTACTTACACCTATATATCTTTCAGGCGCGATTGGACAGCTTAAGATACGGCCATCTGCGATCTCTAAGACCGCCGTTGCCCTTACTGCTGCATGATGGATTTCTCGGGCATCCTGAAATACCACTTTGACCAAGTACAGTGGCAGCAGTACGAACGTCGTGATGTAGCAGAGATCCTGTCGCTGGCAAGATATTGCCCATGGAGTAGTGTGATTGAGGATCATAATATCGGGATAGGCCATGTGAATTGGGTTGTAACTCGACCGCATTTTGATACTGATCGACTGAGCCTTCGCTGCTGAAGCATGGTTCCCTAGACACTGGCGATTTGTATTTCATTTGGCAAATCGAGATTCGAATACCTTGCCGCAAAACATACAACGACCAAAGGATTCAAATGTTCGAGATTCGTAGTGGCCGATCCCTAGTTAACGCCTATTTCAGCCTGCAAGGATGCATGCAATCCATTGCTCACGTCAGGCCCAACAGCCACAGGCAGCTCAATGCTTCAGCGTGCCGACCTGGCCACCCGCCGTGCAGGTATCAACAGGCCGTCCCTGGTTCAGGATACTCTGCTCATTGGGTGGAATGAATTGTGAACACCGACCGAATTGGTCGCACTCGCCGTCTTCGTTCCCGACGGTGCACGCCACGCCGGCATTGCCGAAAAGCGGCTCCCCTTCGCCATTGAAGGAATTGCCAAACCCAACCTCAGCCTCTCCGTCAGGTGCTGTAGAAAAGGTCATCACGTCAGCGGGCCAGATGAACACGCTCATGGGCCTCGTTGCTTACTTTGGGTACACGTGGCGACGGTCCGGCCCTGGTTCAGAACGCTCTGCTCGTTCGGCGGGATGAACTGCACGCAACGGCCAAACTTGTCGCACTCACCATCCTCACGGCCAACGGAGCAGGCGTCGCCTACGTTGGCGAATGTAGGAGCTGTGTCTTGCCGGCGGACGGGAACTTTACGAAAAGGGTCAGCTCGAGAACTCTCTAGCGATAACAGTGCTGAAAGACTCCTACTGGTGCTGGCTTGGCCGATCGCCAGGATGGCCATGGAGGTGACGAAGTACGTGAACTGCATTGCGTCGGAGAATTTACGGAAAAGTATGTCGATCAATTATTTGCGCCAGGCAATAGAGAAGGAAAATCAAGGGAGTATAGAATGTCGATCTTCCAGGTGCTATCCGGAGTAGAGTAGTCGCGTGCTTCTTATGTATCGTTCAATGCGAAGCCGAAGCTGTTTTGGAGCAATACGAGGTTACATCGTTACAGAGCATATAGGGCAGACCAAGGAGGTCGAGGAACATGGGTTATTCCGACGCTGGAACAGCACTCGGAGTGATCGTCCCACGTTTCGGCTCCAGACGATCTTGAAACAGCCACAGGGCTCACGACAGACCGTTATGGTGCATTTGACTTGGAGTTGGAATTTAGAGGCTCACCTTCGGGAACGAGGTCCAGCCAGTGCTGCCACCAGGCGTCTTCAGCATGGGTCCGGTGTTTCCTCTGATCACAACATCGCAGTCTTTTGACTTTTGAACTGTACCGGACTCAGAGATTAGACACCTACCCCTGGGGCTACTAGAATCACTGACAGCTGTCGTTATTGAAACAAGCGTATATTCGATAGCGCACATATCACATAAGAGTTTCTAGATGCCTTGACTCACGTCACGCCGCCGACGTCTGAGACGCTCCAGGAGCTGGTCTGAAATCGATTGTGATAGCCTTGTGCAACTGCCAAGGCACAGCTTTGAATTCTGACATTTATTTCACTCAACACTGCTGACCCCTTGAGCTGGCGTTATCAACCACACCAATTCCTTAAACGACGAAGTCCTGGCAAGGATCGCAGGCTGATCATTTCTTTGATCGAGCTCGCTTCTCACGCGAGGCCCCGAATGCGAAGGACTCGTCTCCATACTCACAGCGCCCCGATGATTCCAGGCGTCACATCACGCTCATCCCCTACTGCACGAGCTCAAAGGCATATGCCGTCGTGACAGCCTCCGGCAAAACCCAAAACGTGACCTGCTCTCTGTTAGCATCAATCCTCACCAATCGGCCGGTCACGAGCTGTTGCTTACCGAATCGGAAACAACATCGTGTTCCCACACGCCGAGGTCGACCGACCCTTGAATCTCGTCAAAGATGGTAGGTCCATCGAACCTCCTCGTCCGAATCTTGACGCGGTCCCCGGCGAACCCAACAGCAGACAGACCCGTGATCGTAACATGGTACGTCCTGCGCCCAGCGACAGGCCGCACAGCCGCCAGGACCTTGACGGAACCAACAGTCCCCGCATGGGTGCCGTAGACCTCAAATGCCTCGTCGGCCGATGGCTTCGTGGCCGCCCGCTGGCCTGTCATCTGGTGGACGTAGTAGTCGTAGACGTGCCACTCCCCCACGGGAAAGTACTCTCCCGACGGCCTCTTGCCGAGGAGATTCGCGAGCAGATCATGCAGCTTCGACGCGGAGCCCCAGTTCGCGCGGAGGCCGTGCGTGTTGTGTCTCTCGAGCTGCGCGATATAGAAGACGCCGCCGGCGGGCGACTGCTCGTCGCCGTTGTTCGAGGCATACTCGTTGATGACAATGGGTCGCGCGGGGAGGCTGCTCCCCTGTCGGAGTGTGTTCCACTCGTCGGTCGACTCGCGCAGGTTGCGGTTCGTGCGGAGGAGATGCCACGAGTAAATGTCTGGCACAACGTCGTTGGCGGCGATGAAAGCGGTGAACCTTTGCCACCAGGCGCTTCCCGCGGTGGCCGGCTCGCTGGTCGACGGGCCCGTGATGAGCACCTCGGGGAGGTCTTTTCTGATCCGGGCATAGGTGCGCGCCCAGGTTGCGAGGTACTGGTCCTGCGTTGAGCCCCAGAAGGACTGCAGGTCCGGCTCGTTCCAGATGTCAATATCGAGACCCTCCAGGGCGTCGTTGGCTCTGAGGTCGCTGAAGACTCGGCCGAGGAAGGCGTCGTAGCTGGTCCAGTTGCCGTTGTCGCCCGGCCAGGAGAACGAGCCACCCTGGAGACTGTCGGCGCCCCAGAGATCGTGCATCAGCAGGGAGAACCGGCCGCCGTGGCGACGAGTCGTGCGGTAGTTTGAAAGGGTCGAGAGCCATCGTGGCTGTCACCAAGCATGTCAGCTTTGAAGATTCTAGGATGTGTTGCCATGCCAGAGGAACCACAAACCTCGTATTGCCCGGCTGCCCAGCCTAGGGACCCGTCAGGCAGCTGAGCACCGCCGGCACGGCAGTAATTGAAGCCCATGCCATCGATGAACCGGTCAGGAATATCCGTGTTTGCTGTGCCATCCGTGTTATCGGGCAGACCATAGATAAAGCCGGACGCCAAATGGGCTGGAGTGCCGGACGGCTCGGCCAGGTTGACGGTAGCGGTCCCAAAGACCTGCCCCTGGCGCTTTTCCGGTGCCAGAGCAGCCCCGAAAACACCATGCGATGAGGCCAAAAGGGCCAAAAGGACGAGGGATCTGATCTGAGCCATCGTTTCTCTGTCAAACTGAAAGCTTGAGTTGCTGGATCATGCAAAGATCGTGGCAGAACACGTTAAGCCGTATTCTTATATCATTTTCTTCTTTCTTTCCCTTCGGAGGGAGCTCATTCGGCAGCTCCTCGTCATCATGGCACGCGATACGACGTGACACGGCGAGCTTTCCAAAGATCGACAGCCTAGTATCGCGAGAGCTCCGCATCATCTGCTGTTGTTCTTTACCCCAAACTTTGTCCCAGAAGCCAAGGCCATTCTCCAGAATCAAAGCTTGCCCCGCTGCCGTAACGAGAATGATGGGCATACCCGGTCGTGGATCATGCGGGGTAGCTACACTTGCCTCCGGTGGGATGCCTTCGTCAACATGCTCGTCTCCGGTGGAGCGCTAAACTCAAGTTGGGAAGAGTGAATGGGAATCAGGAAAGTGACTCGCTTGCATATGCGCCTTAAGGCCCTGTCAGGTACGAGACTGTGCTCCGGGGCAATGAGTCCCGGGGGAGGGTGGTAGAATCAGAACGATTGGGATAAGTTGCTTCTGCGGGCAGAGGGTTCGCGCTTGAGATCTCACATGGTTCTGCGGCGCAAGAGTCATAGGTTGATTGTCTGTAAAGCATTGCTTCGCCATGTGATACTCAAGTCCTCCGGCAAAGCTACTGTAAACTATTGCGCAAAAGGCCACCTTGCTTGAGCATTACCAGCCCCACGGTCAAACCGGAGGAAATTGGAGTTCGATGACATGTTGTATCGATTACTGAGTAGACAGCTGGTCCAAGGACGTGAAGGATCACAGTAAACGGCTAAAACAGACTGTCCAGACATCACTACCGGTCGCTTATCATCCCTTCTTCACCAAAGGCTCTCCACCTTGAGCATACGCATCCACCTTGTACCCGGAAAACTCCCGCGCCCCAATCTTCTTCTCAAAGAGGATATCCAGTTCCGCAAACGTCTTGTCCTTCGTCTCCGGTAGTCGGAAGAAGGTCCATACGAAGAAGGCAAAAGCACACCCGCCCCAGAAGAACGCCGTCTTCCCCTTCCAATCGCCGGCCGTTGGGTTCAGCATGTACGGATTGATCACGTTGCAGACGATCTGCCCAATGTAGTACGCGATGCGGCTCAGACAAACGCTCTTATTGCGCAGACGGGTCGAGGACACCTCGGAGATGATGGCGTAGCAGATAGGCCCCACGGTCATGTAGTAGACGCCGAGCCACAACAGCATCATGGCTGCCTGGGCGTAGTTGCCACCCGAAGAGTCTCCAGCGCCAACACTAATGAAGCCGACAGTCATGAGAACGGATGTTAACAGCCCAAGACCCCAGAGATACAGGGTGCGACGGCCAAAGGCGCCGAGGAGGAGCCAAGATGCCACTGTGCCCACTGATGCGATACCGAGCCCGCCGACTGACATGCGGAACGAGATGGACTCGGGAAGACCAGCCTGGACGAAGAAGTATGTAGGCGTGCCTCCAAGCACGGAGCCACAAAAGGGCTGTGCCATGAAAACCATGCAGGCGATTTCGGTGCGGCGGCGGTCGACCCCGCGAAAGCAGTCCAGGTAAGATGTTCCTTCATCAATGATCATCTCGAGCTGGTTGGTGTAGATCATCGACGCCACAGTCTCTTTGGCGTGACTGCGCTGCATGGCTGAGCCCAGTCGCATGACAGACTTCTCAGCTTCGTCGTACTTGCCCACGCGAACAAAGTACCAAGGGGACTCTGGCGCAAACCATAAGATAGTGAACAAGGGTAGAGGCCACGCCCATTGAATTGCGAATGGAATGCGGTATGCCCACTGGGAGGTGCTGCCAGAAAATCCGGCTTGCACGCCAGCAGAGATGAGCTGGCCGAGAGCCCAGCAGAGGTTGACATAGACGGTCAAGTAACCGCGAAGCGCCATGGGGCAGACTTCGGAGGCGTACGCCGGTGCCATGGTCGCGAAGACGCCCCACGGGATGCCACAGAGAAACTGCCCAACAAGGAGGACGGGTAGGTTGGGCGAGAAGAAAGAAATCGCGATGAAGCCACAAATGAACACCAAAGATGCCAGGAGGACCTTGCGATATCCGAATTTGTGGGTAAAGTAGCCGTTGGCAAATGCACCAATGATAGTACCGACACTCACGGCATTGCTGAGTCCGTTCTGCCAAGAGGCTGTGATTTCGTATGTGCCTGTTCGAGGAACGTACTCGCCATAATGGCGACGAAAGGCAGGCGACGCGAAGAACGAACTGATGAGGACAATGTCGTAGCCCTCCATGATGATGGAGGCAGACAGTAAGACCGACCACAAGACGGCCTGAGGGTAGCGACGGATGGCATCGCGAAGGGTGAGGTTGTGTTCATCTTCGGCTGATTGCTGGGCCATTGAAATGTCTTTGTCCGGGGCATGATCCAGTTCAACAGCTTCAGCCGCCTTCTCCTCATGGATAGAACTCCCCATATCGAAATTTCTTTGGAAGTATGCCGAGTTGCGGTGGCCACTGGAGGCTTCTTGTGGCCAGGGAGCGGTATTCAGTTGCAATGCTTAGCTGTCGAATATCGAGTGGGCTAACCTTCCAGAGTTCTACAGTGCCCGAAATCGGTGGACAATCTGAACACAATAAAGTTGTACTCCATAGGCGATCGGCGGAGGACTGCTCGTATAAGTAGCAGTGGAATGGGGCTGCACCGAAATATGGCTCGCCATCGTCACATTCAGTCAGGCGATCAGTACAGCTCAGTCTTCCTCGAGCATACAAAGTCTGGGGAAGTGGGGAAAATCATGTGGCAGCACGTATCGTATCGACCCATCGCGTTGGATACTAACCCAACTGAGTTCACATGGCAGAGGCCCTTTGACAGGGCGCGTTCCACTTCCCCGCCGGAGCAGCTTTATCCAGAGCCAGAGGGGTCTTCTCTCCGGTGGGGAGAGGGGCTACACAAGTTTCATGCAGGCATCTCAGGATTGGACCCTCATGTGGTGAACTCCTGTTTACAGCGCATGGCGATCCTTGCCTACTGTTGCCGCGGCTAGGCGCTCCAATAGTTCTGCATAACCTCGCTCGATCCCCCAAGCGGAAGCCTGACCATCGTGGTCTTGTTTCGGCGAGTCTGTCCGCATCTTATCAAAGACGGCTCCACGAAAACCCTCTCGCTGCGATGTCAGGAGTCTGTGGCCTTGGTGCACTATCTTCCTAGGCGCTCCCGGGTCAAGAATATTGCCGACTCTCGACATATAAGCAGACATTCTGTCCCCAAGTCGAACGTATGTCTGAACCATTTCGTCATCGCATGGCCGATCAAGGTGAATGAAGGACGGTTCAGGGCTTTCCTCCGTGTCCTCATCTGACACTAATTCAAGTCCAATGGACGAGGCTGGCGCGAGCGAGGTCGTTGCGAAAACTGGCCGAGAGTCTGGGTTTTGTGTCTCAAGATCTGTCTGCTGCCGAACTGACTGTACGGATACACTGTAAGCCCAGATCACGATGGTTGCTAAATAGATCGAGAATGGCTCGAGAAAGGTGCCAGAGCTGTAACGACGGACGTGCCATAACAACGCGCCAGCATGAATAATACTGAGCCGTGCTTTATGTTGATCACAAATGGCCCACTGGACCAAGTGGTTTCGTGCTTGTGCGTATTTAGCACCGTCCGAGGGCCTATTTTGGGCCCTGTATGCCAATGTCGTTGTGAGAACCCGTGCATGTTCGACTGGTGCCAAGATTAAGAGCCGCGAGAGATGGAGATGCAGAATGATAGGGTGCTCCCAGCCTCCAGCTCTCGCAGCCATACTGTTGGCATCCCAATGTAGAATGTCCATGCAATCGCAAGCACTATTCCGCCACTTAGAGAGGATTGGGAGAGAGGGTGGCCACGTCTCCTCCAAATGTTCCGAATGTGGGCGCTTGTTGATGCTGGCGCTCGGTATCCAGGATGAAAGTGGAAATGTGTGCTGCTCGATAGCTTCTTTCGTCCTTCGACATATGGCGTAAACCATGATCTGGATGCTGAACTGGCTCAGCTTTGGCGGCAACCTCTTCTCGAGGTAGAGAAACTCAATTGCTCGGAGAAGTGTGACTAGCCGAACTGTCAGTTGGTGAACAATCTCCAACCATTCCGCCAGACTTGCCTGAGTGGGAGGCTTCCTCAGCAATCTGCTCTGTAGTCGGACAGTCCCAAACTTCTTCTCTGCACGGTAGTGATGACCGCACATCACCTAGTTTGAACCCAAGTTTGCCACCGAGTTCGAAGGCAGCGATGGAATCGAGTAACTTGATAATGTGTGAGCCGTTGCACGCATGTCTCCCACCGGATGATAAACATACCCATATCATCAGGCCTGTTCTTATGCGACACTGAGCGTGTGTCCACTCCTGCACCGATTGCAGCCCACCCAATTGCCTCAAGTTGGTTGTATCTGGGTGTGTGTTTCCAAGCAAATCCATATCAAAACAGGCATCGATTAGGAACTGCTTCTCTGCAAGTGCACGTCTCATAACAGAGTTCTGACCGCTGTGCAGCATATTGATGGAGTTAAGGATAGCAGCTTGTAGGGTGGGCAGGTCAAGGCACCAGTTGCCGGCGCCTGCAACACCGGGTACCCAGGTGTCTACGCCTTCGTCCTCACCAAATCGATGGAAACGGCGAGTAAGTGAAGCCCGCAGTAAACCGGCTAATAGGTCCCGCGACCGCGGACCATTTGAACTGGGTTGGTACCTTGCACCCACTGATGTTACTGCCAGGAGTAGAAGCCAGTGACCTGGCTCCTCGCAGAAACAACTGCTTCGGCGAAGGAAGGGCAGTGTTGGGTGGAACCTTCTGAAGTATAAGTGTACAAAATGGTTCAGCTGCACGTATGTTGGGAAGCCGTCCAAATCTGACTCGATGCCCTGATCCTGGGTCTCGATCCGAAGACCGCGGATGAGGTTCTCGTAAGCAAGATTTGACAAGCCTCCGGTTATAGGAGACGCGTGCGAAGCATCTCCGACGCGAGATGGATCTGTTGGCTCAACCGGGTTTAGTATATCGACTGATTTGCCCGTAGCCAACGTGTCAAGCTCATCTTGGTCCAGGGCCGAACGACCTTGAAAGGGCGCTCTAGCAGCAGCGCCCTCAACGTAGTACTTCCGCTTTCGTGTTCGTCCGGTGCTGCGCGGATGGGAGCCTGTCGCGGAACTTGACTCCGCCACTGAACGATTCATGGCCTCGGTTTCAGGACTTGACCCTGGCACGCTTTCTGCAAATGTGTCGGTAGTCACAGGCCTTGTATTTCTCAGGATGGGACCAGCAACCGTAGGATGATTATAGGCAGCGTCGTTAGGCGCCTCGGGCTGCGGCAGAGTGGTGAAGAAGAACTGGGAGCCCATGACGTCGGTTTCAATACTTCCATAAGACATCCCGGCTAATTGGTTTGACCAATCAAGAATATTCTGCTCCTCTGGAGACAACCAGTTTATGGTGGACAGGCCCGTTGTCGTGGCGGGAAACGAGGCACAGAGGTCGTTTATGTAGCTTGCGTCCTGATCCAGTCCGCTCTGGAACTCCAAAACATTGGTTGATTCTGCCAAGTGTTGCCAGTCAGGACGATCTGGGACCGTGACGCCTTCGTCGGTACTAGGTTGGAGATTCTGGTTGTTACTGTAGGCCTGCTCACTTATACTGTCTGCATGGCCATGGCCTATGGCGGTTGGACTCGTCGCGATCAGGGGGGACTCGGCCTCTGAATTCCTGGAGCAATCGATGGAACCGAGCGACGCAGCCTTTCGCTTCTGGGCCGTTGGATAGTCACATTTTAGGCTTCTCGCTGAGCAACGTCGACAAGGGTTGCCCTTGGTGCATCGTACACGGCTCACAGCACATTCTCGGCAGGCCCTTCCATTTGTGCCGACTTCATCGTGACGATCAAGATCGTGTGTCGCGGCGTGGCGACTCAGGACGTCTCTGAAATGTCCAATGTCAGCGGTTGATCCCCACTCTGGTCAGAGGTAAGACCGGGAAGGGATTGAATCACTGTCGGGAGAATGCCTTGCCACAAACAGAGCAGCTAAAGGGGCGCTCGCTGGTATGGATTCGCAGGTGTCTCGTAAGATGCTCCTGGCGCTCAAATGTGGTTTCGCAGATGTCGCATTGGATGGGAGCGCGTCGAGACACGCGGCGAGAAGGGTCATCCATCTGGCCGGACCCCGAACATGTCTGAATGTCTTGCGTAAAGAGGAGCAATTGGCGGTGGAGGACGAGGAGCTAGATTTGAGAGATGATGAAGGAGACCCACGACTTAGTAGTGTTGGGGGCAGGGTAGGTCGCCTTTCAGTAAGGTGCTTGGAGCTGGGCGAGGGCGAGTTAGTTCCCTGAACTTTGGGGAAGGCACCACTGGATGATCCCTGTAGTGTGCGGAGGCAGGTGCGGGGTCTGCGCATGGAGCTTGGGGAAGGGGCATCTGGGGAGGGAGGTGCTTTCCTGCCTCAAAGTGGTCTGGTCCGTGAATGACTTCAAGGGTGAAAAGATTCATTTCGTTCTATAGATATCTTCACCACATCCTCCATATCAATATCAATATCTAACACAAAATCTACCCACGAGACGGCCATCAAAGCTTTTCGCGCCGGACGAAGACTGGCATCGATTCCAATGGACAATCCACCTTAATCTTTTGGGCTCCCCCATAAGACTGACCACCAGTTTCGGGGGAGAATGGAGCCCACTCCTCAACCTCTGGAAGCCGGGGAAGATATAACTCTCTATCTCTGGCGCCAGGCTTCAAAACGGGACAGCAAAGGTACCTGTCGCCATACATGTATTGATCTTCGACCTCCCAGCTCTCCTGATCTGCGGGGAATTCCCAGAACAAGGGTCTCATGACTGGTGATCCCTTCTCATGAGCGTCCTTCATCAATTGCCTCGTGTAAGAGCGCATGTCTTCCCGGATGCGCAAATATTTGCGGCAGATTTCGTAGACTTCCGGGCCATACGACCACACTTCGTTCGGCGCACCGCTGCGCGAGGCTTCGCCGGTCCCCTTCTTCGGCTCTCGATCGCCATGCAGTCTCATGACGGGGCAGAATGTTCCCCATTGAAACCAGCGCACGAAAAGCTCGCGGAAAGCCTCGTCATCTGGGTTGCCCCCATGGAACCCGCCAATATCCGTCGTCCACCATGGCAGGCCCGCAATGCCCATGTTGAGGCCAGCTGCCAGCTGGTTTCTGAAGCTCGCCCAGGAAGAAGCTATGTCGCCGCTCCAAACAAGGGCGCCATACTTTTGACTGCCGGCCCAGGCGCAACGAAGAAGGTTTACGATGTTGGTCTGCCCCTCTTGTTCCATTCCCTCGTAGAATGTCCTGGCGTAATCCCGAGGGTAGATGTTCCCGACGCTCAGAGTCGGTCCAGCGTGGTATCGATAGTTATCAAAGTCATAGACAGAGTACTCGGGTTCGGCTTCATCTAGCCAGAATACCTTGATTCCTTTGGCATAGTAATGCTGCTTTGCCTTGTCCCAAACGTATTGGCGGGCATCTGGATTGGTTGAATCGTAATAGACGGTTTCCCCGCCAAAATCGAAATTGGTGCGAATGCCGCGCTCGGTGCGAACCAAGTAGCCACGCTCCATCATTTCTTGGTAGTTTTGCGAGCGTTTGTCCACAGTAGGCCAAATGGAGACCATGAGCTCAATCTTCAGCTCGCGAAGCTCTCGAACCATTGCGTCTGTCCATGGACATTGCCGGTTAGAGTGCTTGTCTTCTTTGGGGCCACGTACTGCCCGAGGCCAGAATCAGGAATGCTTACCTGGATCAGGGAAATGGGCACTGTCAAATTTCCATTCACCTTGCATAGGCCAATGGAAAAAGTCGATAACAATCAGATCGATAGGCAGTTCTCGCCGCCTATACTCCCGCGCCACCTCCAAGACCTCCTCTTGCGTCTCGTACCGCAGTTTACACTGCCAGAACCCCAGTCCATATTCCGGCATCATTGGAACCGTCCCAGTCGCCCGGGCATAAGACTCTGAGATCTCTGCCGGTGTGTCTCCGACGACAACCCAGTAGTCCAATGCCTTGGTAGCATAGCCCTCGAAGCTGGTGACATTCTTACCGAACACGGCCCGCCCTATGGCCGGATTGTTCCAGAGAAAGCCGTAGCCGAGCGAGGACAGGGCAAAGGGTACACTGGCCTGTGAGTTTCGCTGCGCCATCTCTAGGTCGAGGCCTTTGAGATCGAGGTACGGCTGCTGGTACTGGCCCATGCCGAATATCTTCTCCTTGGGATCGAGACTCTCGAAGCGCATCGTCAGGTGAAAGTCGCCGCCTCTGATGGGCTTGAACTCGCGCGCCTCGATTTCAATGGCGCTGCAGTTTGGGTCGAGTATATCGCGGCGGTTACGCGCGTATTCTTCGAGGACAACGGCTCCGGTGGCGTTATAGAAGGTGACTTTGCCGCGGTTCGTGACAACAGCTTTTATGTTGCCGTTCTTGATGGTGGCCTGTTCCTTTGAAATCGAGATCGTTGGCTGGGATCCGGTCTTGAGAGGCTCTTGAAGGGCCCAGTTCTCGGTCGGCATCGTAGAGAACTTGGTGGCTCGTACGCGGAAAGCATTGGCAGACCAGGGCTCGATCCAGAGCTTCTCTCCATCATAGGAATATACTAGACGCCCGTCTTGTTCGTATAGCATTTTGTCTCAATTGCTCTCTTTGGTGTAATACTTGGGTGAATTATCCTCGGGGCAGTGTACGGACGAGGCACAAAGAATGGGCTGTATAACGATGATAAGAAGAAGCGTCAAAAATGTCCTCACACCCTACCGAAACATAACACCATCAAAAGAACTTGTAGGACAATTCAAACTTTCTTGCTTTGCTGCTTATCCACCCGATAATCACCTCGACGTACGTTGATGCTGGCGGCATCGGTCCCTCGGAGGGCGAAGTCCCCTCAGCGGAAGTCGTCATGTCGATCTAGCTAGCTCTCCACCGGCCCCATCCCCCGCCGGATCTCCCGTTGTGTACATCCCGACACAGGACCAGTTGCCGAATAGCTTTACATGCCGTCGCAGCCAACGTCTCTTGTCAGCAAGCTGAACTCGGTCGAACGAGATCGGAGTTCGACGTCATACGAATATCGATACGAAATATCGTCACTTGAGAATTGCGCTGTTTCTGCAGGTTTTGTTTGGCCTTACGTGTCCGGTTCTACTGCGCATGTGTTGGCTTACAAAGTGCCGCAATCAATGGAATTGGCTCTGGATTTCTCGATATAGCGGCAGTTTCTTTAGTATTCAAGCTTACTTGCCACTGTATTGCCTAAGATAAGATAGTGGGGTGTTTCGACCCCAAAGGAATGTCAACTGCAGTGCATGGTGGCCTCTTTTTAAAGTTCTTGATGCTGCTTATTTGAGTTCTCGGGATCACGACAGGGCTCCTGAGGACCTACCCATGAATAGAGCAAAGGAAAGAGTCTCATCGACGCACTGGCCATTTCTTGAGCAGCGCTTACAAGCTGACACACTCAAACCTAGGGCGCGCTAGGCTTGAGGCTCAGAAACGTGCTCTGGTTGTTAAGGAAGTTCAAACAGCTAGCAACACACTCGATCTCAGAATGCAAGACCGAATTCGACAGCCAAAGTTGTATGTATTTCAGAACAAGCTATGTACAGGGCCTATGCTAGCACTCGACTGGCTCGAGAAGCCGAGACAAGGCGGGAGGAGAAAGAGCCAAGGTGCGCGTGCCCAGATAGAATCCAGAACGGGCCAGCTACGCGTCGAGTTTTCAAAACGCGGCGCGCATGTTCCTCTCAAAGTTGTTGTTGTTGAAGGGGCAGTTGGCGCGGTTGAAATCGGCGCGGTTGAGGGCGCCCTGGACGGTGCTGTCCATCCTGTCCCAGTCCCAGATCCAGTAGGTGCGGCCGGGCGACGTCTTGAACTGCAGCTCGTGGTTCTTGCCGAGACTGGTGAAGTACTCGACGTGGAGGTTGTTGCCGTTGCGCTGGGGGTTGTTGACCTTCTTGTAGTCGCCGTGGCCCGAGGCGGCGCCGCGCAGGATGCCGGCCTGGTTTGCGTTGTTCGAGTTGAACCAGATGACGACGTTCTCCCAGTCGTGGCGGTGGCCACTGACGAGGTTGCCGTCGGCGGGCTGGTCCTTGGGCCAGTACCAGGCGTACATGATGCCAAACTGGCCGTTCAGGGTCATAGAGCGGGCGTAGGTCTGGCCCTTGCCGGTGTCCTTGCAGCCGCCAGCGGTGGTACCGCTGTCCTGGAGACCGGCGCTGTAGAACAAGTGTTAGCCAGGTGTTTTGTGGAAGCTGAAGGGTGTGTTGCGTGTCTCACTTGACCTCACCACGGGTGTTGACCGCGGAGTAAGGCTGGCAACCGTGGGCAATGTGAAGCAGAGGCTGGAACTTCCTGATCATGTTGCCGTTGGGGCCCAGAGTATCGCGGATGGGGTTGATGCTGTCGTGGTTAACCTTGGGAGGCTGCTGAGCCAAGGCGCTGCCGACGAGGGCGAAGACCGAGAAGATCGTGGAGGGAAGCATCGCAGCAGGTGCCAATGGCTGTTTGAATGATGAGAGAGAGAGGGAGTGAAGCTAGGTGATGAGGATGAAGAGAAGCAAACTGAGTTGAAGAGCGATGATCGTCCTTCTTATATACTTTGATCAAGTCCGGAGATGTAGTTGCCTTGGCCTTCCATCGGTTACCCTTCAGTAGAGAGAACGGCTTTGTTGACACACTGGGCTTCCGACTTCATTCTGTCGTGATTGTCATGTCTGCTGCGGTGTCTAGATGTCAGGGGTCCTTGAGGCCTACGACTCATGTCGAGCTCGGTCGACGGGAATCCTTAACGATGCGAACACGAACATCGTGAGGCTAGCCGCCAAGGTAGGCTTAGCTGTTCCCTCACCCAGACAAATACATTGCTGCGGAGCGGCTCCGCCGCCAAGAGCTGGACATGAATAACACTCTGGTTATGGCAGTTGTCACCTGCATGAAGAGAATGCCTTGCCTCATTCAGTAAAGGGCGTGGCTCAAAGACCCTGGAGTAGCCCAGTGAATCGTCTGAGCGCACTCCCAAAAGATCAAATCGTCGTCTTGGCCGGACAGCCCGAACTTGGCTGACAGGCACTCTATTCGACAAATCTCCACCCCAGTGAGCTCGCCTTGGCGAAGTGCTGTGCAGCCGGCGGCCCATGGCTCGGCACTCATTCATGCGAGGACGCAAGGACCGTGATCGTGGACGGTGCTGAGTCGTGACTGGGCAGGTGGGCAAGGGTAGAGGAGCCGGTTAATCTATTATACTTTGGTTCATCTGTTCCACCTGGGCCTTTCGGGTACACTGGTAGCGCCCATAGAGGTTGATGTCGAGTCATGGATAGCAAGGCCGGACCCCCAACACATCAGAGTAAGCCCGATTCGGACCCCTGAGACTGAATCGAGTCGGCACGGACCGAGACTATACCGGAGAAAGAAGGCGTAGCCATGTCCGACCACTAAGAAAGCCGGCCTGTTGCACATTCTGGTGATACGGGGGCTGATGAAAAAGCGGCGGTGATAGGGCGTGCGGATCTATAGCCACAATGGGAGCAGAACATGCCCGAGACTCCGTGGTAGGCGCGCATCTGCACCAGGGTCTACTTGGTGCGCTTGTGGGGTTGCGATTCAGGGCTGATGAACACGGCATGATGTTTTGGTCTGATCATCCGGCCGGTTCGTTCGGTTATTTGTGGTGGTGTTCTTAGTGAGAACTGAGCAGAACAGCTGAGCTTCAAGCACTGTCTGAATCCTGTGCCCCGAACTCGTTGGGAGCCTGTCGACGAGAATTGGCGTCGACTATACGTTTCTATCGAGCGTCGTGCAGACCACAACTATGATGCCCTTTCAGTAGCCGCGCGGAGGGCATTCCGTCTCTCATTGGCAACCAAAGTGTTTCCACAATTCTGCTTGAGATGGGGGTGCGAACCTCGATGGTCACGGCCCAACGGCACGTTGCTGCACTCCGTCGATTCCGGTTGCAGCCACCTTGATCTACAAAAGTATTTGGAAATGAGCTGGCAGAAAGTCTTCCGTAAGCGGACTGTCTGTTTCTCGAGGTTGTTTGGCATGCAGGACCAGCTGACCATGATACGAAGCTTCGTTAAACACATGTGAGCATCTAGACAGAGACGAATCGGAACAAAAGTAACCGCCAGTGTGATTGAACGACCTTGGAATCGGTTCGCTGGTTTGAGGTTGAAGACAAGGCGTTTATGCCGCTGGGCTTGGCACGGCAACTCGGAGCCGGAAACAAATCCATGGGGAACCCTACCTTGCCTGTCTGACAAGTGGAGGATCCCAAAATAAGAGAACGCACGGCAGCAAGCTTACGATAAAGTTGATCTGGCTTTCGAAACAACAAGGATTTTCCCTTCATTCCTAGTATTTGAGAAACAAACCCTCTTCAGCTTAATTGCTGCGGGTAGTTGATCTCACGTCGATGCTTACGCCAATGATTCCGAGCATATGGCTTTAGCGGCCCTTCTCAAGTTGCCTTGACGCCGCTGACTACCTATCTGCTGGTGAATACCAAGAGCAGGCCTCAGCCGGCTAGTGAAGCGTTGACAGGGCCCTTGAGTCGAGATGTGCGCCATGAATCCACCGGCAATGCAGCAGCACAATCCAAAGTCCCCGACGGGGGGTTGCAGTGTATTGTCAATTAGCTTGGCTCCTCATTAGAGTTCATGAACATTCGTAACTTCGTCTGATGGTATCATATCGCCAACGCCGAACCCAAGCCCACGTTAGTCCTCCCCAGGCCCTCCTCGCCGGCCCAAAACAGCGCCGACAGCTAGCGTCTCGACGCGACCAGCGTAGAGTCTCATGGAGTGCGCCACGGGGTCCCCCCAGACAACACTCCTCAGCTGCTCGTCCGTCGTGATGTGCGCGACGACGCCCTCGTCCAGTCTCGCCTCGACGCTCCTCCTCGTGCCCTCTGCCTCAGGCCGTCCGCTGCGTAGGACGACAATGCGGCCGGGAACGCTCAAGGTGCTCGTCGGCACGGGCCAGACAGGTCGTCTGCGTCTTCTCTTGGGCTTCTCGTCTCTGGACGCCGCTTTCGGTCCCAGCCCGATGAGCTGCGCCATCGACTTTTTCTCCCGCGCCTTTCTGTCGTCTCTCTCCCTCTTGTCTTGTCGTTCTCTCCTCGCTTCTCTATCCCTCTTGTCATCCCGTCGATCCTCGCCCCTCCTCTCCTCCGACCGCTCGCGTCTCTCCACGACCGGCACCGGACTCGCCATCAGCTCAACCAAGCTCCTGACGTAGCCGCGATCCGCCCTGACGACGGGATCCCCCTCGTTGACGAACCCGAGAAACAGATTCCGCCGCGTGCCCGGCGGCAGGGCCAGCGGCAGCAGGCTGACGGGCGGACAGCCAAAGACGACGCAGTGCACCCTCTTGAAGCGGCGCGCGACGTCGGCGAGCGGGCCGCGGCCGCCGTCGACGGCGAGCATGTGGCAGAAGAGCAGCGCGGCGACGGCGCCGCCGGCCGAGTGGCCCGTGACGAGCAGGCTGTGGCCGCGGCGGCGGGGCTCCTCGTCGAGCAGGCGGCGCAGGCGCGCGGCGAGCGGGGCGGCCATGGCGCGCGCGACGCCGAGGAAGCCCGCGTGGCACAGGTTGCCGGCGTCGTCGAGGAAGCCGGCGGGGCTCGCGGGCGCGGCGCGCAGGTTGACGGCCCAGTCGGCGAGGCTGGCGGAGCCGCGGACGGCGAGGACGAGGGCGGCGGCGTCGTCGGCGGCGGCGGTCGCCAGGAGCATGGCTTTCGCGCCGGTGCGAAGGTCCGGGGCCACCGTGATGTGCGGGCTGTCCGGGCGCGAGCTGTAGACGCGCTCGGCGTAGTGGGCGGCCAGACAGAGGAGGGGCCAGGTTGGGATGTAGAGGCGCAGCGGCTTGAGGTCGGAGGGGAGGCGCGAGTTGGCGTAGGCGTAGATCTTGGCCAGCGGCGAGGAGGAGGAGGGCGGTTTCTCGGCTGGTTTGGTGGATGATTTGGACGGCCGTGTCTTCCTGGCGCCTGGTTTGCTGTGCGGGCTTTCCTTTTCTGGCGCCGTAGGCTCGTCAATTGTGGCGAGCACCGCGGCGAATGTGTTGGTCAAAAGGTCTACAGCGAGCGAGGTCTGATGGATGAGCTCCTGGGCGTGAGGATGGAAGCCAGCCTCGATCTCGGCCATGTCGGGGACCGTCAGGGCGGCGCAGGATGATTTGGGCGTAGGTTTCGACTGTGGTGTATCAAGTGGCTGATCATGTCGGTGCTTGGGCCGGGCCACGAGCTGCGTCTGAGCCGTCGGCGGGCGAGCTTCGCTGTTATTGTTGTCGGCGAGGCCGTAGAAGTTCTGAACCTGATTCACGACGACAGGCGCAGGGCCGAAGCCAGGCTGAAAGCCGAACGGCGGCGCCCACTGCTGCGACGGCTGGTTTGTGACGGCATTGTGGTAAGACGGAGGCGCTGGGAGGGCGGGAACTTGGTGATGTTGTGTCTGTGGTTGTAGTTGTGTCTGATATTGAATTTGCGGCTCGGCGGTTTTATTCGCCTTGACCACCTTCTTGCGATCAAACCAGCCCATGTCGAACGTAAACCACCATGGACCTGATCAAGCAGTAGTGATGATGTCTTGGCAAAGTCGGTCCTCGTGTCGGCGCCGTTAGTTCGACAGCCAAATCATCGCCATGAACATCGTCATCATCAACTCAATACAGAGTGCAAAGGGAGCAACAGATTCATGAGGCCGGGGACCAAGAACTTCTTCAAAGACCCAGGCATGCACGGCGCTACACAGCACTTTATGACCCTCCCCCGTCCCAGAGGACAGGATCGATCCAAACAACGCGCCCACCACCCCTCATCACATGCCCACCAAGCAAGGGCCGCTCCAAGCCCCCGACTCCCCTGCGATCCCTGCACAACCCCAGCTTCGCCCTCCGATTCGCCCGCTGCAGTCTCAGCCCCAAGGCGAGCTCCAAGGCGAATCCAGCAGGGCAAAGAAGAGGCAGCAAGCGAAGAGCAGCAGCAGCAAGCAGCACGGCGGGAGCCTCACGGTGCAGAATGGGCGTACGAACAAAGTGCTGAAGTACCCGCCTCGCGTACAGGCCTCACCGAATATGACGCAGACGAAATGCCCTTGACGGCCAAATTGCGTGAAGCAGTGCACGACGTTCTTAGGAGGGGGAGGAGGGTTGGGGCAACCCGCATGAATGGCACGACCCAAACCAGTGGCGAAGATACCTAGCCGCCGAGACACCCTGTCCCCCTCTCGAGAGAGAGGCAGGGAAAAAAATCCAATAGGCCCCCAAGAACTCACAAGCCCGGCGGCCCGCCTGCAGCTCAGCCGAGGGAGGGTCGGCATGAACCCGGACTTGGCGACCTGCGAAAGCCACGGGCGGCGATACGACAAGCCAGGGCACCAATGACGGGCGAACGACGGTGTAGATGGGCAAAGAGCTGTTTTGTCTGCCGTCCAAACTGTGTCGACGAGCAGGCTTATCCGCCGTCTGTTGACGACGAGGAGCGCTTTGGGTGTTCACGGACAGCCTGTCAAGAAGCGCTGAGTCAAGACGCGGACACATCACGTCGTCGTAGCACCGCAGAAAAAGAACACCCTTGTACGAAGACAAACTACTTTTCAATTCACCGAAGCTACAGACACTTCACCCAACGCGACTCGGCCTCTTACACGGAGAACAGGCCCAGGCGGACGAGAAGGAAGCCCACAGACCCCAGCACGCATCAGAAGAAACAACCACAACCAAACACGGGTTCCCCAGGAGCGCAGCCTCACACAGGACTCGTCGGGTCGCGCACGCTGCCGCCACCGCTGCTGCGACTGCCGCTGCCGGTGCCACTACGCACGCTGCTGCCCGAGCCCGAGTGGGCGCCACGCGACGGCCAGCTGAGCCCCGGCGGCGGTCGTGCGCCGACGCCCGCGCCCGCCTGCGCCGGCGTGTTGTGGAACGACTGGTACTCGTCATCGCCGGCACTCGACTGCGTGAAGCCCGAAACGTCGCTGAGCATACTACTGGAGCGGCCACGGGACTTGACAGGTGCCTGCGAGGGAAGCCAGTGACCCGCGCCCATGAGCGGCGCGGGCAGCAGCGAGGGCTGCGCCCCCGGACCGCTCGTCGAGTGGGAGGCTGTCGTCGTCGCTGCTGCTGGCCACATCGAGGCCGGGTAGTGGGGGGCCGCCGCCGGGTTCGGGTTCCACGAGTTGCCCGAGCTCGTCGCGTTGGTCGGGGCCGCCGCCTCAAAGCCCTGCTGGTGCTGGTGCTGGTGCTGATGCTGGTGCGGCTGCTGGCCGTCAAACGAGAGGCTGTTGTTGCTGTAGTTCATCTGTTGGTGGAACGTCTGGAGCTGGCTCATGAGGTTGTTGACCTGAGCCTGCTTGGTCGCGTTGTTGGCCTGCATCGTCGCAATGCTTTCCCGGAAGTTGGTCTCGATCTGCTTCGTCTCAGCCTCCCACGCCGCCCGTCCTTGGCGCCGGCGCTCGGCTTCGTCGAGGCCGCGGTTGTTGGCATCCGTGATGCGCATGAGCTCCGTGTCCACCTTGGCAATGCGGGCCGCCATCTTGTTGCGCTTTGTCTGGAGGGCCGACTGCTCGTCCTGCGCCGCCTTGATCTGTGCCGCGAGCTTGGCCTTGAAGTCCTTGTGCTCCTTGGACGCCTTGTCGAAGACGGTCTTCTCCGCAGACCAGCTCTTCTCTGCTTGCTTCTTGCGTTCTTGCAGACCTTCGGGCGCCTTCTCAAACTCCTTGAGCAGCGCGTCGAGCTCGGCAATCTCCTTTTCGGCCTGGGCCTTTTGCGTCTCTTGTTGGATGATCTTCTGGCGCAGCTTGTCGTCGTTGCCGCCGCCGGACTGGATCGAGTTGTCGAGCTTCTCGTTTTCCTTCTTCAGCGCGCTGACCTTGCTCTTCCAGTCCTTGCGCAGCGTCTTGAGCTTGGACTTTTCATCCGACAGGCGCTCGTTCTGCGCGCTGATCGTGCTCTTGAGCGTCGTGGCGGGGGAGTCGGGGCGTAGGGATTGCTGTCCGTTGATGGCGGGGCTCGCGGGCACGCCCTCCTGGTCCTTGGTCGGCGCCTGGGTCGTGCGGATGCTCGTTGAGAAGATGACGCGGTCGGTGTGCGTGTCGACGAATTCGCAGACGTACTTGCTAAGCGGTCGCAAGCCGTAGACGTCGCCGCACCATCGGTGGCCCGACGCGCGCTCGCCGTCCTCGTCCTGGACGCGGAAAATGCGCGTCGGCTGCCAGTAGGCATTGTTGACGCGGACATAGAAGGGCTTGGACGTGTCGACGCCGGCGGGTCGCGAGGCGTGTCCGTTCTCGGTGGGTGGGTCAATATCGGCAAAATGACTGGTGTTGAAGCAAATTTCGTCGTAGCCAATGTACGAGATCCAGATCTGTTCGGCTTCCGAGTCGAACGGGGCGTTGCCCAAATTGTGGATGTCGGTAGCATTGGACCCCGCTGTTTCCGAAGCGGCGTGCGACAATTCGTACTCCTTGACCATGACAATTTTGGTGCTCGCCAACGCGGCCCACAAGGGCTGCTGGAGGCGCACCTGGGTGCTCTGCTTTCTCCTCTTCTTGGACGACGTCGTGGCGTGCTGCAGCGCTGCGGCTTCGCTGTCGGTTGTTGTTGTTGTTGTTGTCAGACCAGCATCTCCAGACATTTCGGCGGGCTTGCCCGCTTCGGGATCGGACAGGCTGTGGGAGGATCCGCTGCTCTTCTCGCGTCGCAGGTACCACTCCCTGATGTATCGTACGATGCCCTGGGTTAGAATGTGAATGGCCAGGATGCTCTTGATCCAGCCGTGGGGTCCTCTCTTATCGAACCCCTGCGATATCGCCTCGAGGGGGTCGTCATTGTCGGAGGCGAGCCGCCAATTGGGGGGCAAGAGTCGAGTGGCGCGGGACCAGTGCAGCCTCGAACCGCGAAGCACGTGCGAGGCGATGACGAGGAGGAAGCAGGTCGTGACGCTGCTCGACGTGCCTTCTCGCGACGACGAGCCCCCGCCGAGGGTCACAGCAATGACGGGCTTGGCCAAGTCGAGAATGGCCACCTGGATCGGCGGCCACAGGAACAGCCACACAAGCATGATGAGGATGTCCATGCAGCCGATGGTGACGAGAGAGGGCATGGTCGAGTTGTAGTCGAAGATCTCGGCGAGGTTGATGTTCATGCCGGAGCTCGTGGTGACGGGGGGCACAAAGGTCAAAAAGGTAAAGGCCATGTAGATGCCGGAGAGGGCGACGGGCGGGACGTGCATGAGCAGGATGAGAATGGCGAGCGTGTCGTAGAGAGGGAGCGCGCGAAGGACGGTGGCGGCAAACTCGAGGGGGCCGCCGGGATCGCGGTGGACGTCGACATTTTTGGTGGCATTGACATCGATCTGGCGGTGCTGCGTCTCGACGCAGCCAGCGTTCCCGGGCGGGTTCGCGGCGCTCGAGTCGCCCGAGGAAGATTCCGAGTAGGCGCCTAGCGAGCCCCGCCTAGGGACGGCGTCGGCGGCCATGGCGGCGGTGGGATGGGTCTTGCCGTTGGTGTCTCCGTTTCCATGGAGAGCAAGGGTGGGCAGAGGCGAGGGCAGAGGCGACGCAGAGGCATCGCCGTCGGAGGGTGCGGACGAGGTCGTCGAGTGGTGGTGGGCAGGCGAGGCGTCCAGCTGGGACTGGCTCTTCTTGTTGGAGACTCGCTTGGCGGGGCCTACAAGACCATTCTCGTGACGAGTGTCGCGAGCATTGGCGTTGGCAGCAGCGCCTGACTGTCGCTTCGCGTTCGAAGCTCGAGGCATGCAGCGCGCTCTATCGCTGTCCGCCGACCCGGCAACCTGAGACAGGCCGGGGCCAGGGACGGCAGCAGCAGGACGGGCCTGGATGCCTTGTGGTGGGTGAATCGGGGGGTGAGGAGGTCGGAAGGAGGTTGACAAGCGGAGGTTGACAACTGTTTGTGGTCGCGAGGGGTGCCAAGCAAGCCGAAGATGGAGATGCCCCGGTGGAGGCGGCGAGGCTGTTGGAATTAAATTCGTGGAAACCTGCAGAAGGGGAGCATCGAAGGCTCACGGGTGGCAGGATAGACGAAGGTTTTTTTTTTGATTTCGTGAGGGGGGGTGCCGTGGGCGTGACGTCGCCGAAGGTTTGAGGTCGAGATGGCGATGCCCTGGCAGGAGTTGTTTGGGGTTGAGTTATTGTTGGAACGGGAGTTTGCAGGAGAACGAGTTGGGTGCCTTTTTTCGGTCGGGAAGCGGACTTTGCCCTTGCGGCGGCTTTGGGGGCCACGGTAGGTAGGTACTACTACCACATGAGGTAGGTAGGGGGGGCCTGGGGGGGGGGCCTTGCTCGCTTTCTTTCCCTCAGTATCCGTACGCGCATGCACATGTCCGCACTGTGGATCATGCGCTAAGGAGGCGCCCCGTGTCGCTGTTCAGTGGGGCTCTTCAGAGGCGCCCATCCGCTGCGTCGCCTCCCATCGCCTGCCACTGCCGCGACGGACACAGTGATCGCGAACAGTGTGGGCTGACATCTGACAGACCCATACCCACACAGTTGCTGCCGCACTATGCGTGCCCAGGTAGGTACCTACCTACGGTACCTACCAGGCATCGACCTGAGGTAGGTAGGTACCTGTCTTAGGTACCTATCTTAGGTACCTGTAGGCTCGGGAGTTGCAGAGATCGTGCGATCCATATCCGCCGGCCGAAAATATTCAGATCTAGTGCGAGACTTTGGGGTACCTTGGAGTCGGCCACTCTTCGGGGCCAATCTCGCCCATGGGCGTGTGCACTCAAGTCTCTTCTGTCCTCTGCCCTACGACGTCTATCGCTCGGCCCTGCTACATGTACTGCTGCTACCTGCCTGTGCATGTGCACTTGCCTGCCTCACCCATGAGGCTACCTGCCTCACCCGTGATGCAGCGTAGTCCTTGCTGCCTGTCATGCGATGCATCGACCCAAGCCCCTCCCTCACTTTGTTCATGCCCGCTACCACATCGTATTCTCTCATTCTCGCATTCTCGCCTTCGATACCCACGATATCTATCCTGGCACCCAAGCATGTATATTGCCGTCCCCCAAATTTGGGAGCGACATGGGAGCAGCCATTGTCTCACTGCCTCATTCCAGGTGAGCTCCGTCGAGGCTGTCGAGGCTGTCTGCGCGACAAGGCAAAAAGCTACATGGCATGGCTTCCAGCGACACAGCAGCAAACCCCCCAAACCATGGCACAAAGCAACGCACACGCACCTTATCTCTCGCTTGACAACAGGTTCCATGGGCGACATCCGGGGTGATGCGACAGATCACGATGCACCAGGTCCGAGTACGCCTCCATCCTCCCCCCTCACACGTACCACTAGACGTGGTCTGTGTATCGGCTTTCGTCCCGCACTCAGCGCAATCTCCTTGCGTGCTTTGGTTCCTTGGTTCCTTGGTCCCTTGGGTCCTTGGTCCCTTGATCCATTGCTCCCTTGATCCCCGGATTCTTGATTCTTTTCCTTCACGTGCGACAACGGGTTCAGGGCACGTCCAGGCGCCATCCTCCACCAGTCACGACTCCTCATGACGTTGATCGACAAAAACAAAGCAAACGTCCAAGACCTATTGGACGTCCTTGGACGCCTGCGACAATGCTGCCCCCTACCTCGTCCTCGGCCCCTCCTCCGACTCCTCATCAGATCATGTCTTCGGATCCATCGTCAGGAGCAGCAATGCACATGGTGGTGGCAAGCAGGAAGCAGCAGAAATGAACGAATCGCAGCCAGACAGAACAACAACAGCTTCCCGCACAGTGGCCGCCAGCAAAGCGCAAGCTCATGACGCGGGGGCGGCGCGCTGCCAGTCCATCGCAAGCGGAGTCGACCTCCAGCAGCCATTCAGCGTGACGAGAATTTTAATTTCCAACGTCGATCACTTGCTGCGGGCCAGCGGCGAGTGCCGCCAGCTGCTGGCTCGCCGGTCCATCGCGTGCCTTTTCCGGCCCTGGTCTCTCTCCTGGTCTCTCTCCTGCGCACGCCGCTGCGGAGGCTCCAACGTGAGATCTGCTGGCTGGGCACACTGTCTGCAACTGGCGTCCTCGTTGGTCGCTGATCTGCTCTCGTGCTCTCCTTGCCTGGCCTGGCTTCGTCTTCGTCGAGCCTAGCCCTCCATGCTCTTGTTCCGGCACACTCCAGTGTGCCAGGGGTCGCTTTCCTTATCCTCCACACAGGATTGGATTTCCGCCGTCTTGGCGATCCGAACAAGCCCTGACCTCGGTACTCGACCTTGACCTCGAGCACAAGGCGGGGCCGATCCAGGTGGTTCGACTGATTCGAGTAAGCTGAAGGGAGGACAGCAGACGGAAAGGGCCCAGTGGTGTCGCCGCAAGCAAATGCTCACGATCCGGCTCGCTCGGCAGTTCAACAACCGCCTTTTTTTTTCCGTCATCAAATCATTTCGTCACACGAACATTCCAGCCACGCGCCCAAAGAAAAGGGAAGAAAAGTTCTGCACAAGTTCGACTCGCTCTCTCCACTCTCCTCTTTTAGCGCTTCGATTACTCCGGTCTTAGCGCTACGACCCAGACCGGAGGGTTGCCAAATTCCAGTCGTAAAAGGCCTCCTCGCCAGCGTCGAACCAGAGGCCGGCACACAGGAGGGGCACTGGGGCAAGCCGTGACAGGGCTGGTCGCGAGCCAAGCCAAGAGGACCAGGCATTGTACCTTTTTCTCTCCCTTTTTTCTCTCTTTTTTTCTGGGATATTGTTCGCCAGGACCCAATATGCTGTGCACCCCCACCTCCCGCGAATCGTGCTAATCGTGAAGCGGAATAGCCAGGAGATCGCCCTGTCGGCATTTGTCCACACCGCCGCTGAGATGGGGCCACGCCCGCGCCTTGCCATCCCCTCCCACCACCACCACCACCTCCAACCTCCCGTGCCTGCCACCCCTCCTCCGGATGACTGCCGGGCTGCCGCCGCAGGCTTGCATCACGAGAGTGAGCCAGGACGAGCTCGTAGGGCTTGGGTTGACCACCGAGGCTGCGCTTCGCCTGCTGACGGGATGGACGCCGCTGGAATACCTCCACCCGGCTTGCTCGGGTCAGGGCCATTGTCATCATCATCATCGGACGGGTTTTTCTTGGTGGGAGGCACAGTGGGAGGACGCACGCACCCGCCGGCAGAGAGCGCGAAGCATCCAACGGGCTGATCTAGCAGCGTAGCGGCACGGCACCCATGACAAGCTTCACGGCGCTGCTGCAGCGCACACGGCAAACGCACTCATGCACGTCTTGTTCGCCCGTCACCCCGCGCGCCGTTACAAGGTCTCACGCGCTCTTGTGTTCTCGGCCGTCTGTCTGCCTGTGCATGATTGGCCCGCCCATATGTAGTGTGTGTGTGGTGCTGTGGTGCTGTGGTGCTGTGGTGCTGTGGTACTGTGGTGATAGGCAACTTGGCAACTCAGCAAGACCCCTCCTCTCTCGACCCGGCTGCATGCACGTAGTCACGCCTTGCTCATAGAAACGCTAGCACGTTCACGGTCTCGTCGTTTGCACGCAATGGGAAACACATGGCATGCATTCTGCAAATCACTGACATTATGGCGCGTCTATGGCGCTTGGTCCTACGGCGTGTCATGTTCGTTAGTACAGTGGTCGTGACGAGTCCAGCCAGCAGCCCCATCACCCGTTGATGCAATCCCATCCTAGCCCGAAGGCATCCCAGCCCGAAGGCATCCCGGCCCGAAGGCATGCTCCTCCCCCCCGGGCTTCCTCACGCCCCCTTGGCCGCGCCCATGTCCTCGACGGCGTCGGCGCGGTTCCACGTCTGCTCCTCGAGCCGGCGCAGGTCACGGCCGATGCCGCGCAGCACGGCATTGGCCTTGCGCAGGCGCGTCTCGGCGCTCGTGTTCTCGACGGCGCTCAGCCGGTCGAGCTCGCCGACGAGCCAACCCGGCATGGGCTCGTAGAGCGACAGCGTCGTGCCCGTGCGCGCGAGCAGCGTGCCGCGCGTCAGCGACCAGATGAGCGTCTGCACGACGATGCTCTGCGTCGTCTTGGCGTCCCGCGTCCAGGGCATGAATCTCGTAAAGGCGCGTATCGTCTCCGGCTCGGTCATGGCCTGGGACGTTAGTCGGCTGTCTGTCCGTATGCTGCGATCTGGGGCAGCCCAGAAAGGGGCAGAAAGGGGGAACACAAAAGGAGGAGACAAGAAGGAGGCAACGTACGTGGCTCGGCATGATGTTGGTCCTCGCATTCTTGATCGTCACCGCCGCCGCCGCCGTCGCAGCCCCCTCAGCCGGCGGCGCGCCGTACAGCAACGCCTGCCACTGGGCCGCCAGGTCCGGGGGCGCCGTGTCCCGGGCGTGCGCCAGCGTCTGGTACAGCGCCTCGTTCGCTATGGCCAGGTACGTCGCGTTGCTGTCTGCTTTCTGCGTAGCCGGTCAGCCGGGAACGGGGCAGACGACATGCGCACGGCAGAGGTCGCTCAGCCGGGAACGGGGCAGACGACATGCGCACGGCAGAGGTCGCTCAGCCGGAAGAAGGGGGACGGATCGTGTGCTCACCCTCTGCCACGATGTCGCGTCGAGGCCGGCGCTCGTCGCGGAGGGCTGCCAGGTGGCGTTGGCGGGCACGCGGAGGTGGGGGATCGTGAAGCCCGGGCGCGCGGGGTAGCCCTGGAGGATGGCGTAGACGGGGGCGGCGCGCTTGGCGATGCGGGCGACGAGGCTTGCGGCGAGGGCTGTCTGGTCGGGGTTGCAGCCGAAGGCGAGGCAGCGGCCGATGCGCTCGAGCGAGGCGCGGCCGTTGAAGGTCGGCAGGCGGTTGGACATGGCGGGGTGTCTGGGGGGGTGTCTGGGAGGGTGTCTGCGAGGAGGGGGAGAGTTTCGGTGGTCGGATTTCGGAGGAGGCTCGTTGCTGCTGTCGTTCACGGACCGAGAGCTGAATGTCGTGATCAGAGGCCTTGGTGGTTTGCTCGCATTGCTCGCCACGGGGCATGGGCTCGCAAGCTGTGGTGGAGACCGAGCTGCGATAAGATAAGCCCGGGCAGCTCGTGGCGAGGTTGCATCATGAGGCAGTGGACAATCATAGGCATCAACACCATCACAGAAGACGGCACAGAAGACAAGAAGACAAGACTGCCGCTCCACGCTCTCCTCTCCCCATGTAGCCGCAGCGCGAGACTTGTCACGGCCCCCTACGCGACACGATGAGCGTCAATCCCGAGCTGCGACGCCAGGTCATCGCCATGTACAAAGGTGCCACTCCCCCCTCCTCTACCTCGGCTGCGTCCCTCGACAACGACATGACAACGCGGCGCATCTTCATCTTTGCTTGCTGTCGACATGTTCCTCGAAAAAGTCGCTGACGACGCAGAGCTCCTGTTCCTGGGCCGCGAATACCCCCTCGGCCTCGCCTACTTCCGCCCGCGCCTGCACAAGGCCTTCGCCGCCAACGCGGGGCTGCGCGACGAGGCGGCGATTCGCAGGGGCCTCGAGCGGGCCGAGTTTGTGAAGAAGGGTCAGTGTGCTCGTTGTCTTGTTGCTTGCTCTGGTCGGACGTGTCGCGGACATGACGATGGGCTGACTCGTGTTTTGTCGTGACAGAGATTGAAGCGCTGTGAGTTTGCCGTGGTCTCTCGTTTGCGCGTGTCCTTTTTGGGCATCGCCCCATGGCCTCTCTTCTCTCATGGTCGTGAGTTTGGGAGACGTATTCCAAACGAGTGCCGCCCTCGAGTGAGGTTGCGGACGACTGGTCTTCGTCTTCACCCCTGGTCACGCATCTCCTGTCATGGCGGTGGTGGATCAACTGGTAGTGCCAGCTCCTACATCAGAGTGGTCATACACATACCTCTCTCTCCCTCGTCTTTGCCGATTCGAGAAGACTTGACCCTCGCGGTACCAGACCCCAAGACACCGCCTGCGCACAGGACACAAGACAGACACGAAGAAGCAAGCCGAGAAGCAGAGTCTATTCGTCCCCATCACATCAATCTGAATACGCAATCCCATCGCAACCGCCTGCGTCGTCTCCCCTCTTTCTCAGACCCTACATACAGCCTCAAGCTGACCCGGCCCAGGTACTACCTCAAACGCTACCGCACGCTGCGGAAGCGCTACGTGCCAGACGCGTGAGGCTCGTGAGAGATGGACAGGCAGCAGCAAAACACGCGAAACGGGATAGAGACAGATAGAACACCGAAAACGAAAAAAAAAAAAAAAAAAGTCATTCCATCATGCTGCCCCAATCTGAATGCAAAATGGCCCTCCTGCAAAATGGCATGAACGGAAAAGAAAAGAAAACCAAAAGAGAACATGTATTCAATGCCCAGCCTTGTCCAAATAGAAACTCTTCGTCTCCCTGTCACTTCTCTCCCTCGGCCACACTGGAACCGGAACGTAGGGGTATCTGCAATATCTCTCCAAAGACAAACGTCCTGGTCCTGTGCACCTCCTGTGCCGTCGACGCATCGTGCCCCCCGTATCTCGCTCTCGCATCGCGGCATGATCAATCCACAGCAGTCACCCGTCTGCCGTCATCACTTCTTCCTCGCCCACCACGCCCCAACCTCCAGACACTCGCCGCACCCGGCGCCATCGCCGCCCATGAGGTCGCCGACCATGCGGCCCATCCACAGGTCCCACTCGTCCCGGCTCTTGCCGCTCGTCTCACGCAGCATGGGCTCGAGGCTCTGCACAAACTGCACGACCGTCAGCATGGCCGTCCGCCGCCCCGCCGCCTGCCCCTCGCTGAGCCGCTTGGCCCGCCCCCCGCCCTCGCGCCGCCGCACGTAGCTCTTGCCGTCCTTGGTCACGACACCGCCGACCCCTTCGCGCTCCCACCGCACCTCGGCCAGCGGGATCGCCAGCCGCCGGCTGCGCACGTCGGTGAGGTCGTCCGACTCTTGCAGCAGCGACGGCCTCACGAGCGTGCACGGTACCGGGGACAGGCCGCGCGGGCCGAGCGCCCGGTGCAGCCACGTGTTGTACTCGACCAGGTATGGGTTCATCGGCGACGAGAGCGGCGTGTTGGCGGTCATGAGGTAGGCGCCGAGGGAGGCGGCGAGAGGCGTCGTGGGGGAGGTTGACGAGGCGGCGCCGTCTTCGGCGGCGGACGAGTAGGAGGACTCCTCCTCTTCGGTCGATTCTTCTTCTGATGATGACGACGGCGCCTCGGCGGCTTCCGCGTGCTGCACGGGCGCGTGCGGCCGAAGCATGCGGACTTGGTGGTCGGATTCCCAAATCTCGAGGACGCCGCCGGGGCGCAGGAGGCGGAGGTATTCGTCCATGGCGGGCTGTTGTAATTGCGAGGGGATGGCGAGGGACGTGTCCTTGACCATGACGAGGTCAAAGTGGCCGTCGGGCAGAGGCCACGGCAAGCTGCGGAGGTCGTGCTGGACGAAACGCCATCGCATGTCTCGGTCCGGACGCTCCGTCGGTGCGATCGGCGCGACGTCGATGCCCGTAAAAGAAATGTTGGTGTGGCCGCGGGCGGCAAACCAACGGTGACACATGGTCGACCAGAAGGCGGGGCCACATGCAATCTCCAGCACACGCGTGGGTGGCTTCTCGGCAAAGGCTGGAGAGCATACCGGCCCGCCAAAGACCTGGGTCAAGAGGAGAGTGCGTAGGGACTGGCGGTGCAGTTCGGCGAGGTCGACGGGCAAGGGATACGGCAGGGTCGTGTCGGCGAGGTAGGTGCGGGAGTTGCGGAGGGCGAAGGCGGGCCGGGTGAGGTTCTGCGCCGAAGCCGAAGCCGACGCAGAAGCGGAAGCAGAAGCGGCGCTGGTGCTTCCGCGGACGGACGGCGTGCCGGTGGTGTTGGTGCCGTCGAGGGAGGGGTTAGACGTGTTCATGCCGGCGAGGGTCATGGCGGAGGAGTTCATGGTGCGTGTCTGGGCGTTATGGGCGTGAAATGCGGCAGCGGCCGTCATGTGGTCCATAATAGGGATGATGGAGAAGGACGAGGGCGACTTGGTCAGGGCAAAGGACGAGGCGTGGGGTGTCGTAGGGTCGCCATCCGTGAGCATGCTGGCATGATGCGGCGAGGTGGCAGACGAGGGGGTTTGTTGTGACGAGAAGAGGTTGCGACTTCGTGGGACCTGAAGCCGGTCGAGGGTCGTTCGGCGCGTGCCGCTTCGCCCGCGGACTGCGTCCTGTTCACTGCCGTGGTCGCCGTGTTGAGGAAGTGGGGGGATGGCGGCCTTTAGGTCGACGCTGTCGAAACCTTTGGGCAAACCAAAATGGTACCGAGGGTGGCGGGCCGCGCTCTTGGCACTCGGTGAGGTGGGCGCCCTGGGTGTGCGAGAACCAGCGTCTTGCCTGTCGTCGTCGTCGTCGTCGTCGTCGTTGCCGTCGTCGTTGTCGTCGTTGTGCTCGTGCTTGTCGAGAGAGGGGGAAGAGGAGGATGATGAGGTCACCAGCGACAGCGCAGTCGTGGTTGTGCTGAGGCCGGCCTCGTGCGAGGAACGACTGACAGATCCGGAACTGCCACTGTGCGTCCGGGTGTGGGTGTGTCGAAAGCGGCTGGGCTTCCGGTCCTTCTCCTTCCTACCCGCCGAATGCGCTCGACGCAGGAAGAGCGGTGCCTTGCTAGGCTTCTTGTCTCGGTTTCGGTCCCTGGTCTGGTCCCGGTCTTGTTGATCGTCACCGTCGGCAGCAGCAGCAGCGGCGGCGGCGGCAGCAGCGGCGATGATGGCAGCAGCCTTCTTCTTCTCCTGGGCCGTCCGTTGGTAGATGGGAGGGAAAGGGGCAGCGCCGGCATACATGTACCCGCCATACTCCATCTTTATTAAAGGCCAGCCGGACTGGCTCCTCGAGGCCTTGCCTTGCCTTGAGAAGCGAATGCAGCAGCAGGGCACGCCTGGTGCAGCGTCAGTGCGGCCAAAGGTCCCACCAGGCCCGCGGGTCGATGAGGTGTTCGATGGAGCCCTTAATTAGGGGGTAGGGGGACGGGGGGGGGGGGGGGGGCCGGCGACACCCGACAAGGGGCTGGGTTTTTTTTTCTCTTCGTCTCCTCTTCCTCTCAGTCCAGTCTGTGGTGCCGCAGTTAATTTAGCACTGGCACCGCACTGCAGGCGCCTCCACCAGCGGCCGAATGGAGGGGGGGGTTGGAAGGGGAAGACAAGGAACGGGAGCCGGTTCCAATGACGCCAGGCCAATGTCCAGGCTGCTGGGGCGCGCTACAGGGATGCGGTTTGGTCCCAAGGTTGGACTGGGCTCGGGGAGGGGATTGAAGAAGAGGGAGCGGGGGGTGGTTGAATCGGTGGGAGAATGGAGTCGCGTGGGCCCGGCCGGCAAGGGTCCGTTTCGTTGAAGTGTTATTGCAGTCGATGGTGATGGCGGTGCCGTGCGATAGTTTGGGTCGAGTGAGGCTTGCTAGGAGATTTGACCTTGTCGGGGATGTTCGATGGTTTTGCCTTTTTGTGCTCTGCGCCCTGTTGTCTTCTGAGGGCTGTGGCGATTGCGAGATGTGATGATACGGTTTCGTTGCCCTCCCTCCTGGCCCTTCTGGGCTTCTGTTAGGCGCTGATCTTCCAGGCGGCTGGTTCTTTGGCTTCTGCCTGAATCCGATCCTGGCGTCGCCCAGGGCTCAATTGTTCCGAGATGTTGGGCTCGCCCTGCATCAGTCACAGCCGAGAGAGTTAGCTGGTTGATCATGGGCGTCAGCAGACAGGGCTGCTGCTTCGTCTTCGTCTCGCCCTCACCTTCTTCGTGTGCTTGCCCGTCGCCTCAGATCCTGCGTCCCTGTCGACCTGCAGGTCCCGGATTCCTTCGAGGTCACCCCCCTCCTAATGCAGCCAAGACACACTGCAAGTACCGAGCTTTCGCAGACTGGCCCCCTGGGACCTGCGTCCGCCCGTCGGCCACAGTCTGCCAATTGCGGCAGCGTTGTCCGCCCGCCGCGCTCCTTTGTCTAACGCTCTTCGCCGTCTGGCGCCGCTGCTGGTTACTGATACAGTGGCTTGCAGCACGCACGCTGCGGGCTTGTTGAAGAATCTGGCGCCAGAAGCGACGAGCGGGACGGGACTGGCTGGTTGGACAGGCCGGACAGGCGACGAGGTCCTGAGACCTGCGACGGGATGGGCGGCAGGGTACGCAAGACAACAGAGTTCCAGTGGTTCGGGAAACTCTGTGACGAAAGACAAGCCTTGCTCAAGCCAGCCGCCAGTTCTGGCGGGGGCGCGACGGGGGTCGTGGTTTCTGGGCAAACACCAGTCGGGGATGAGCGCCTGAACGGGAGACCATCCGCCGCCCAGATTTTCTAGAAGCCTGATTGAGGGGTCCGCCCTTTCTCGCGTGCGCGCTCTGACGTTCTGCGACAGCCCGTAGGCCCGGATGTGAGCCCTCCACTTCCCCGAATGTAACGGCCGCCTGCCAGCCAACCTGCCAGGCCTGTCACTTTCTGCGACTGTCAGAGGCCGTTGGCTGCTGTTGGGCGTACAGGAAGTGTACGAAGCGTGAGCTGGTAGGTAGGTAGGTAGGTCGAGAGGTACCCTCAGAATCCCAAGGGATTGTTGCCCCGGTCGCCCGATGAGACGGGACACCTCAATAGTGATGGGCTGTCTGGGTGATCGACCCTCTGAACTGCCTCGCTTCAGGAAAAATTGCCTCGTGGGATGTGAATTCGCCGAGTGGACGCGGATCCTTGAGGCCCAAGATACGGCTGTTCGGTTCAACGGCCGCCGCCTCGATCCCTGATGGTTGTGTCGGGTTGGTGGCGTCAAACGTGTTGGCTTTTTGAGATCGCCCCTCCTTCGGTCAATTCTTGACCGATGTTCGCCACGGCCACCGACAAGCTTCTGTCAAGTGTCGGGCTTCAGCTCGGTCGGTTTGACCTCAATCACCGTCGCAATACGACAGGTCAATCGTTTGGGTCCGGCTTGAAATGACGGTTGAGCAATGGTTTGGTCCGGATAGACCAGCCGCCGTCCGAGCGTTACCCCTTCTGCTGCTCTGCTCTCTCGCTGTCTTTGTCCGTCAGTCTCGTGTCGACCGCTAGGCCTCCTAGACTGGTCGTTGTCGGGCACCAAGCGCTGGCGCGCGGGCAGTGCTAATTTTCACTGCACAGAATAAGGTATTCCCGCCGGCGAATTCGATGGCGCGTAACCTGGGCTCGCCGGCGTAGATCCCCG